AGATGATCTCAATAAAGATCGAAACGTTGGCACTATAAAGAAAATGTTTTTCTGAAACCTACATTACACCAGACTGCATCTCACGATTTCTGAATAATTATCGATTAACGGTCACTAATCACCACACACTTGTTCTAAAATATAACAGGTAGTGACAGCTAGGGCAGGAAATAACAGGTAAGAGTAGGTAGTCGGGTAACTGTTCGATGGTCAATGAAAAAGCAATTACTATGCAATTTGATACACAAATTTATACTGTCCCATGAAGTTTTTATTCTATTTCAACTGTCAGGTATTGTGGGTTAGTATGAATTTATGCCGAGCACGAAAACCTAGGACTACCAATGTAAAGCTCTTACAATATCATTAGACAGTCGTTAGATTTCTGACAAATTTGGGTACTTATTTGTTCATGTATGAAATACATTTCGGCAACCGAAATACAAATTCCGTGTTTACAAACATGTCAGCCCCTGGACAAAATCAAGGCGTCAAACGTTCCAAACGATGCCATGTACCTTGTTTTTTTCCAGGGCGTTTGATCATGTGCCTCACAGGCTCTTAATTTTCAAACTGGATGGTCCATGTACTTTCCTAAATTTCTTAAAATCATACCTCTCTGACAAGAATTTTGATGTTAAGGTTGATCAAGCATATTCTATTCCCGTGCTTAGCGGAGTTCTATAAGGATCGGCCCTGGGTCCAATTCTATTCTTATTTCACATTCGTGATAAAATGATAAAATTCACTGTAAAAATCGGTACTTTTGCATATGATACAAAGATATTTGCAAATCCCTAGACTTCATTCACTGAAAATGAGCATTGATAAGTTTTCTGACCGATACTTTGTGGGGTCTTAATTTTAACCCTGACAATTGCTGATTTCTCCATCTGGCTAAAAGCCCTCCTTTAACCTACAAACTTGAAGGTAGCTCATTGGCTTCATTTCAAAAAGACTTGAGGATAGCAATATCAGAAGACTTAAAATGGAATGTCCTGGGAATCGTCTAAAAAAGGAAGTTTCCTTGCATACCAAGTTAAATACACATTTACGTCTCCTGAAAAAAATTTATGATACCTATGTTCGACCCATACTAGAGTTTGCTATTAATATTTGGAACCCTTGGTTTCAAAAAGACACCAGAAAAAGTTCAAAGACGTTTCGCCAAATTCAAAAAATTAAAGCCTTACAGCTACGTCAACCGACTTGAATTCCTAAATTTGACAACTCTTCAAGATCGTACAGGCAAGATCTCATCGAAACGTATAAAATTCTTACAAATAAATATGACACTTCGCCTCAATTTTTCTGAAGCCGAAGCATGAAACTTCGAGAAAAGTGCCCCCAGAAATTAGTCGGACTTAACTTTCTTCTCAAATCGCGTCGTAGAAAATTGGAATAATTTCCCTTCAAATGTAATAAACTCAAGATCACTTTTGTCATTCAAATTGAACCTTGACAGTCATCTTCAATCAAATTTGGTCACTTAAGTCATTAATATAATATTAATTGTAAACCGTTATTTATATACAAGGATTTTATTTGTAAATTTTATAAATTTGTAATTGTATGGTTTGTTTCATAATTTATTAAATGTTTATCGGTTTTTACTCAGGCAACCAAAAACAAATAAACAAATATAATAAAATAGACGTAGTGAACTTAGAAAATTTATTCTTGTCATACACCTACTTCATGCTTTATTTATATGTTATATTTGCATAAGTTTAATTTAGATAAAATCGTAACAAGTAGGAAAATTATGTACAGAAGGACAATTTTTTTGAAAAGAAAAAAGAACGCGAGGGGGGAAATCACGTTGTTTAAGAAATGTGTAACCATGTCCCGTTGGTCGAAAGGTCGTTCAACCCGAGTTATGCTTTAAAAGAACTCGTAAGCCACATTTTTATGATATCTTCTTCCGATGATTTCAAGTTTGGGTAAGGTAATAGGCAAACCGGCAACTCAAAATGCATATCGCCTTGCGACATAGCGGATGGAATGTTTTTTTTTTAAGACCTCCCGTTGTTGACTTTTACAAGTTCCTCCAAAGGGCCTCGGGCATTTGTTCCGTTATACCAACAAGTTCGGTGCCTGCACCATTCCCACTCTGACCGAGGTTCCTTCGTCGGACACATCATCTGACCTAAAAAAATATATAGTGGATTCCAAGGATTTTTTCCCTTCCGACGGCTTCTCTTCTTTTATATGCCAACTTGCAGGCCGATTTGGGATTCCGATGGGTGGTCGGATTTTTAACGTTCCGCCTTTCTCAACGAAAACATGTGGGTTTTTTTATTTCTTGACAATGATACATCTATTAATTTAAAAAAATACATTATAACAAATACAAAAATACCCAATTGGGGATATACCCGAACATTCGCGCTAATAAATGAGATTCACACACCGGACTTCGTTCACACTACCCCAGAGCACTCGATAATTATCGGGAAAATTGGGAATAATTCACTGCATTTATATTAATAAATTACATTCTCACCCAAGAGTAATTGGGGATAAACTCTGCCATTCACGCAAATAAATTACATTGACACCACTACAGAGTACTCGATATTCCTTGGGGTGATTGGGGGAAAAGCCCCACCATTCACGCTAATAAATTTACATTCATACATTCATTTACACTACCCCAGTGTACTTGATATTCTTCGGGGTAATTGGGATAAACTCTGCCATTCACCCTAATAAATTAAATACACACACCATAAATCATTCATACTACCCAAAATTACTCGGTATTGAGTAATTGAGGTTGAGGATAAACCCTCCATTCACGCTAATAAATTTCCATTCACACATTCATTGTCACTACCCTAGATATTAGCTATTCCTTGGGGTGATTGGAGATAAGCCCCGTCATTACGCTAATAAATTACATTCACTCTACCCCAGAGTACTTGATATTCTTCGTAGTAATTGGATAAACTTTGCTATTAACGCTAATAAATTATGTACACACACCACAAATCATTCATACTATCCCAGAGTACTCGATATCCTTCGGGGTAATTGGGATAAACTCTGCCATTCACGCTAATAAATTATGTTCACACCACAAATCATTCAGAATACTCGGTATTTTTCGGGGTAATTGAGGTTGTGAAAAAGCCCCTTCATTCATGCTAATAAATTTCATTCACACTATCCCAGAGTAATTGAGATTCCCCGGGGTAATTGGGAATAACTCTTCCATTCACGCTAATAAATTACATTCACACATTCATTCAAACTACCCAAGGTACTCGATGTTCCTTGGGGTGATTGGGAATGAACCCCTCCATTCGCGCAAAAAATTACATTGACACACTCAGAGTCACTACCCTAGATATTAGATATTCCTTGGGGTGATTGGAGATAATATAATTTGCGCTAATAAATTATATTCACACTACCCCAGAGTACTTGATATTCTTCGTGATAATTGAGATAAACTCTGCCATTCACTCTAATAAATTATACACACACCACAAATCATTCATATTATCCCAGACTGCTCGATATTCCTCGGGGTAATTGGGGGATTCGCGCAAATTCGTTCCAATAAATAACATATTGCATACATGAAGGTACAAAGATCTATACACAATTCAAAATATTTATAGACCTGAGACCTGAGATATTTGATCAGCGATCTGTGTGCCTCCTGCCGTGCATATGTAGTGTTTCTTTCTTTGCAGTCTCAGTTCTTTTGTAGTCTGTTTTTATGTGTTCTAATGCGATAAGCTCTTCACACAACGGGTACCCTATGTGGGGAGGTAATCCTCATAAGAAGGTGTACGTGTCATCTTGGTATGACCTTCGTTCATATACTCAGTTAGACAAATATAATAAACAAATACATAAATTGTTTGACATCGCAAAGAATTTGTACGGTGGTACTTTTTCATGTAAATTTGAGTCTATGTCGTTGTTTGTTGTATTTAAAAATTATTGATAGCATTTAAAATTACAAGGTTTCAAAATTGGCTCGTATGACGGACTGTGGGAGCTTAACATGTAACCGTTGTCGGCATCGTCATTGGGTAACCGTAAAAATGCAAGAATATCACAAAGTTTGAAAAAATCCTGGAAGGTAAGTGAAGTCGTTCAAGCAGATCTGCGTTCCTCTCATGGATCATTTGCGGTCATTGTCAAGGCTGTAATCACGTGAGAGAGCGATCAACTTTAACATATCGAGCCGAGAAGAAAAACCGGCATCATTACAAAAACTTCGGATGAAACACAAATAAACAAAGGTCGTCGGCAAGACTTCGGAAAAATTCAAATTAGATGGAACACGCCTGCAAACTAGGAAGGATGTACCTACATTGTGCCCAATGTCAAGGAGAATCGAGTCTTCATTAATTATTATTAAATGGGTCCAAAATCTGTCCAGCGAGTCTCGGAATTGTGGAAAAACGGGTAAAAAAGAAAAACTCAAGCAACCAATTGATGCTTCTTGCGTCAATACCGGTGAAAAACAGTTACCTCTTATAAAGACATACCGTTATTTGAGAATTTTCCCCTTCACTTCGTACTTATCATTAGAGTGCATGCTTAGCACGATCGGTCACTCAAAGAAAGCACCTGTTTAGGTGGAAAACTGTATTAACCGACATCCCTGGCGAACCGGTAAAAATGAAAGGTTTCCTAAACAAGCAAAAAGAAGAAAATTTGTAATTGTAGTTTGATCGTTTCCGGTCATTTCGATCTGCCTATCCTCTTGGCTTTGGTATTCTCGTCGTCTTCAGCGGTGGGTTTGTCTTCCCCAATAAATTGTAATTTTACCAGTTACATAATGATCAGCATGAATTGATTGATATTCTTCTACTGTACTGACAATTGGAAGGTTTTTGACCAGCGAGAGCTGACAGGCAAAAATAAACGTAAACGACCACACTACTAGCAGTCACTACAGATACTCCCGGAAATCTCAAAACGTAAAAATTTGAAATATTAATATTAAAATTTAAAAAAATAAATAAAACAAACACCTGGATGATAGAAGGAGACATTTTTCACTGAGATAAAATCAAAATTGAGAAACGACGGAGGGCGAGGGGCGTCTTTTACACTTTTTGGCACATCTTTCTTCACTCGGCGTCAATGACAAACGGAGTCATTTGTTGCCGGGCCGAGTCAATGAACGGGCGAGCGGTCGGAACTGAGGCCTTGGTGCCACTGAGGAGTGACTGAGTGACGACTGAGGACTGAGGCCTGAGCCCATCGGATCCACAGACGCCTCTTCGCCTCTTCCACCACCACCACTACCACTGATCGCATTCCAATCACCAACAGACAGAAATCGCCAATGACCTATCACCAAATTTATAATAAGCACACCTACAATTGCATGTATGTCAAATTATAATAGTATGTACGTATATATTGAGTTGTTTCACATGAAATGTCCTTTTCCAAGGTAAAGGTTTTTTTTAAAGTAAAATTACTATATAAAACAAAATAATTTTTATTTGAAGACCTTTTCTACACATTCTTCCCAATGCGTGACCAGCGTTTTTATGCCGGAACTGAAGAATTTTGAGCTTTGAAATTAAACAAAATCTGAAAACGCTTTTTGAACTTGAACATCATTTTCACAAAATTTTCCTTTAACGAAATAGTCTAAAAACCTAGACAGGTGAAAATCTGTTGGAGACAAGTCTGGAGAATAAGGTAGATTCTGAAGAACATGAGCTCTTTCAATTTGTGTACAATGTTTTGAAACATTAGGCACGGTGTTGTCGTGTAAGACCTTTCCGATTTAACAATGCAGGTTGTTTTTGAGTAACTTTTTGTGCATTTCGTCAATTTCATGCAGTACAATGTAGAGGTAATCTCACCTCTATGCAAAAAGGAGTAGTGAATAATTTCAGCCATGGACTACTAGATGATGGTAATGGTCACCATCAATTTTTTTGGTATAAGGTTTTGGCATGCGTCCTGGTCTTATGTCGATGTTTAACCACTGATTACCTGCCACTGATTGCCATACACAATCCAATTTTCATCACAACTGATTATTCTTTCATAAAAAGGCTTGATTTTTTAGCAGGCGAGCAACGAAATGCACGCCTCAAGGTGCTTTAACTGCTGTTGATGAGAGGTCAAGAGGGAACTGTAGATCAAGCTTTTTGACATTTCCTGTTTCTTAATTGTCTTGACACAGTAACTGCATTTGCATTTAGTTGTGCTGCGAGTCCTCTATTTGATAATGGTTTTCTTCCCCCTAAAGCTTAAGTACATCGTTGTCAATTAAAGTTGGTATCTATATTTAAACGAAAAATTATACAAACTAAAGGGTGTCTTCAAAAATTTAACAGTGGAGATATTTTTTTAAAAATGGAAAGAGGGTTCACAGGCGACCTTTGATGGTGTCCCACAAGAAGCTGTAGAATCAAATTCTGTCTTGTTTAATTTCCAGTTTGGTCACAAGACATGGAGATGGTGAAAAATAAAGAGAAGTAATGTATAGTGAAAACCCCGCTTCCTAGTATCCTTTTCTACCATACCAATGTATAGTGATCCTTCGTGAATCTTGACAATCCAGCAGAGGGGTTAGGCAGATCAAGATGATCAGTAAGCATAAAATTACAGGTTCATCATTCAGCAGACCTCAGGATTTTAGATATGAATTATTTAGGGTCAAATCCACACATTATATGCAGTTGAGCCTATCACTTCTCACAGTCCAATTCCAGCTTTTGGCCTTAACCGTCCAGCCACAAGGTTAAGCTCCAAGGGCTATCAAATCAGCTAGGTCACTTCAGCACCAACACATGCCATCCCAAACCCTTTCACACTCTTCTTAAGTATTTACGAATGTATATTCTCTCCTATTTACAAACCATTAATTCAATTAGAGGAGTCTCAATATTTTTCCATCACCCTCTACACATATTGTTACAACTAACCTAATTGAGAGTTGATGGGGTACTCTATAATCCATAATCGGGTCACCCTACACATTCATGACAATAAATACATCCACTCTCAATAAACACCAGGATCGCAAAACTTCATTACTTACTATTTACAACAATAACGGAATATAACTAACACATATTATTGCTCAGCGAATAACCGAGCACCTGCCCCACTAATCAGTATTTAGTAAATCCTGCATGTCTGGAGCCACCTTAAAATGTGAGCACAACTGTATAGTCAATGTGACAATAAAGTTTATAATTATAATAAATAAGAAAAAAAAGAAAGTAAAACAGGCCTACCATATTCCTAGGCACATTTTTACTCAAGCAGCAAATTTGTCTTTTGTACAAATTTTTTCAAACAATAAACAATTCAAAAAAATACAAAAGAAGGACAACAAACTGGTTTTCTCCCGCCCCCTCTCAAATTCTCAAAACTATATTTTTTTCTCACCAGAAAGAGGAAAATAAAGACATTATAATTCATAACTTTTCTTTTCGATAAAGTATATACATTTCATTTTTAAAAAAAATTATATCCTAGTGTTTATAAACATAGGGAATAAACAAACACTAATCATATTTTAAAAATTAGACTTGTTCTTTATAAAAAGAATACTATTAATATTATATTAATTAAACAATTAATTAACAGCAGTAACACACAGTAGGGGTGAATGTTGTAATATACTAAAACATATACATAAAATTAAATATTACAAAATACTTGGCTCTATTTTTATAAGCTGATTGAAGTTTTTTTTTTCATTTCTTTAATTACAATATTTATGTGAAAGTGTCAAAAACTGCTGAAAATGATTTTTTTTTTTTTTTCTAATAGAAAAGAAACATTCTGTTATGTTTCTTAAGTGTCTAAATGATTTTTTTTGTCTTTTAATGAAATATTTTTGTGTGTTAGTGTGTAATATAAAAATTTACATTACTTTCTGTGAAAAAGTGAAACGTAGCAAAAATCAATGTATAAAAACAAAGCCTCATTATATTTTGAAGCATCCTCCCTGAACTGGAATATTTGGCCAGTTATGTAGACCTCTCAAATTCTAAAACCCTAATCAAATTTAATCGAATTGACAGATGTAGATATCTGGCCGCCCCTATACGAGCCTCGTTTCTTCTTCGTTTTCTCATGGCGGAAAGCCTTCCCCTTTGTGTGCTTTAGAACTTCATATGCTTTTTCACCCCAACTTCCTCTTGCTCCTTTCTGTGTAAGAAAACAAACATGGATTGGTAAAGCACAAAAACATTCACTATAGACATTAATATTTATGAAATGAAACGATTAAATACACTCAAAGACAAAAAACACTCGGATATTTTTTTATCTCAAACTATATGAATTATAAACCAAATTAAACAGAATTAGAAATTCATTTACTTAACTATTTAATTAAAATGGTGTGAAAGAAAATTAATCAAAACAACAGAAAATCATTAGTGATAGATTAAAATTTAGCTAACAATTTTTGAAAACTAACTTTGCTCTTGATTGCACATTATCTCCTCTGGCTTTGTGAGGGCCTTACGTCTGCTAGCCATCGAGTTTCAAAGCGATCAGATATTTTGTCTTGAGAAACAGAACAAGTTTCAACAAGAGTGGTCGGTGTTCAACGCTTGTTGGAGGTGAACAATGTTAAAACTGTCTCTTTATCATGTCCCACGAGTGCTCTATGGAATTCATTTCAGAATGTGGAAATCCTTCACCCTCCAAGTAATCGGTGATCTCATACTAAATACGGTCGAGCATAATAACACAAAGAACCCCCATAAATAGAGCGAATTGGACCAGTTTCAAGAACAACTTCCTCAATGTATCATACCTCCATTCAGTACAATAATCAATTCAGTACAGGCATGGAAGTTGATTCCACCCCACACCATCTATCTTTGACGAGGCACATGGCAAATGAAACAAAACTTTCTCCATGTACATGGTCTGGTTGTCTGCCACATACCCAACAGGCACTCATCTGTGAAGACAACAGCCCTCCACTTCAAGCATGCAAGATGCTGATTTGTGAATAGTTACATTTCTTCTCGATACTTCTCCACTAATGGACAACCTGATGCATGCAGAGTAGGCTATGATGGGACTAGGCCATCCAGTAACTGTTTTACAACTCACTCTTACATTATGGATCATTTGATCGATTACCTATCATGTTAAATGATGGTTTTGTAGTGTGGGAAATGCAATAAAACAATCACCTCTAGCCATTGTACATCGGAGTCAAGCACTACCTTCTCTTTGATCAACTAAATGCTGTAAACCATTGTGGATGGTACAGCACAGCACATCCATGATTTAAGCTATGTAACGGACCCTTGGTTCATCATTGACTCAAAGCATTTACCAGGGCAAGGAAACAATAGGGCATCAGTGGCCAAAACATTTTAGACGTTGACACGGCACATCACTATACAGTAAAGGCCCTGTGCTCGAATCCAACGGTCCTGCATTCAAACCTGACACATATTTACAAGTTTTTTTTGTGTTTTGCTTTTTTAAATAAAAACATCGACACCCCAAGGGTTTATATAATCTTTTAATTACAATACCCTCGTACAAAAAATAAATAAATAAATAAAAAGTGATGATTTTATTTTTAATTTAAAAAGAGTAAACGGATTTACTTAGTAACACTGTATAAATAAACAGGTTATTAAAATTGTGTTTATGTTTTAAGTCAACTCTTTATACCTTTATTTTATGAATACATTATTATCGAGAAATTAAACTTTTTTTGTCTTTGAATGTATTTAATAATTCTTAATTCTAAAATTCTTAAGGCAGTGCCAGACATCTTAAATTCACCCACTACCGAGTAGCTGAGGAGTTTGAGTTGAATATTCACCTCATCGAATATAACACAAATACTGATAATCATCGCTATAAACAACCCACCACTACTTTGGTCAGAATTTGGCATAGACACTGAACTCTTTAAATGGCGAAGGTCTGGCACAACCCTGTTACATTTCTAATTACAATAAACAAAACATGAAATTAATTATTAGTGTTACCTTCAAAATAATTAATCGTCAAACTTAATTTTCTTATTTTGTGTGGGTTCGGGACCGTATGTCGGTATTTGGTTAGTATTGCTATCACCCCCCCAGCTTTTTCTGAATCCTCCTCCTCGTCCTCTCTTGTCACCTCCTCCAAACCCTCCTCCACCTCTGCCGAAGTTTTTCTTTTCACCCCAGAAAGATTGCCTATCGCCCCCAAAAGATTTCCTATCACCCCCGAAAGATTTCCTATCGCCCCCAAAAGATTTCCTCTCTTCCCCAAAGCTTTTCCTATCCTTGAAACCCCCTCTTCCTCCCCTATCATTGAAGCCGCCTCTTCCTCCCCTATCGTTGAAGCTGCCTCTTCCTCCTCTGTTCCCAAAATTTGGTGAACCGCCCTTGTTGTTCCACGACCCGCCACGACCCCCCCTATTACCACCACGACCAAAACGTCCACCGCCAAAATCTTTATTTCCAACTTTTTTCTCCTCCATTCCTCCATCGTCCTGTTAAGGAAAACAAGAATTAGCAAAAACAGGCATGGCAAACATGGACTTCAATCTCCCTTCAATCAACTGACAAAATAAACATTAAATATATATATAAAAATGGAATGAAAAAGGTAATATTAATTTCAATTAGCCAATTCAACACTAGTCCGATGGAGTTAATCGAGTGAGAGTAAGCACCACGATTGCTTGTGCCTGAGAATTTAAAATGAAGTGCCCTCTCTCACCTTGGCCTCAAAAGAGTTGTTGCTCAGTCTCGGATCCACACTCACATCTTCTTCTCTTACTCGCCTAAAAGGAACTGGTTTTCTAGTCTTCTCATTACTCTTTTATTGAAGAACAAAAAACAAAAAATAAATATGAAGTAGCATTTGAGATGTACTAATTGAAATTATTATTGCCAGTTCCAATTCCATTATTATTAAGGACAAAGGAAAAAACAAAATTCAAAATTCATTTGTCTAAAGCAACACCACATAAAAAAATATCTGCCAATAGTAACAATGAATTATAAAATAATGTGTTAGTCATCAAATGTCTTTCTTTGATTTGAACATTGGTTCAAATTCTTAGGTTGTTTATAAATATGAAAAAGTAATTAATTTTTATTTAAATTACATATAAATTTTATATTGATTTGCAATTATCTTTAATTTGGTAAGAAATTTCACATATCAAATTTTGAGGAACAGTTCATAAAGCACACAAAATCTTTCTTTTGTGCCTGTTGAAATGAAAAGTGCTTTAAGTGTTACTTTAAGGACAAACAAACATAATAAAAGGTTAATTATAATACAATTTAATCAATTAGTAATATTACTTACATCATTATCATTATTATTATCATTGAAGCTTTCTCCTTTAACGAAATTGCCGTAGTTTTGTTTTTTCTATAACACACAAACAATTTGGTTAACGTCCATAAATATTTTCTCTTAATAATTAATGAAACTTTAGTTAATAGGAAATAGTTCTCAAAAATATTATTTAATCATCTATATATAAAAAGTGACAAAAGAGTATTCTCTCAGCCACACGAAATGGTCATGGGTGACAGACAACAGTTGTCCAAATTTTAAATGTTTTACTCACTTGCTGTGTTTCTTCTCCGTTTTGTGAGTGTTTCCTCTTGACTCCCTTGCTCAAATTGGGTTCGTCATCACCAGAACTGTCTTCTGAGGAAGACTGTTTCTTTTGTACAGGTTTTTCTACCAATTTAAACAGTACAATTAACAACAAGCAAAATAAACATGCTACTATTAATAATGGATTATTATGTATTGCTATAATAAATAGGATACTAAACACAAAATATAAAATAATGAAATAAAACACAAAACATGTACCTTTAGTTACAGCAGCTTCATCTTCAGAAGAGTCTTCAGAAGATGAAGATTCCTGCTTTTTCTTCTGTGCAGCTATTTGCTGGGTTTTGGCAATTACTTGGGCTTTGACAGGGGATTTGACTTCTTCACTATCACTGTCATCACTAGAGCTCTCCTTTTTTTTAGCTACTTGTTTTTGAACTGGAGTGTTTTTCACTTTGGGAGGAAGTTTGACAGGCTTAGACTGTTCATCATCACCTTAAAATAAAATGTTATTGGATACTTCAATATAAGCTATATCGAATATTTAATTGTTTAGATGGGGCATGTTTGGCCTGAAAGGGTTATGAATTATGTGGTTAGCGCAGGAATAGTAGTTTTAAAAATTAGGACAGTTGGCTAGAAGGAAAATCACTGCATGGTCGAGTCACGTCCTAACACAGCTGCTCTGATCAGCTTTCAGCTTTCTTTATTTGCTTTCATTTCATTAAATATCAGTGCTGTAACAGTGCTACAAAGAGCCCAGCAGTAAAACAAATATCAACAGACATCACCACTCAAATTGCAGTTTGGGGCTATTATTTTGTTGTATTTTTCACATCATTAAGTTGGGCTGATGCAAAAATAATGCAGATTTTGAAAAGGCAGTCAAAACTATTTTTAATTTTTATAAAATAAAGAAAATTTATTCAAAATATTTTCCATCTATATCTTTGCCAAGGTGTAATCAGCGCTTATATTCCGCTGACATAAAAATCTTTATTTCAACTCCAACAATGTCTTGGAAGGCATTTTCGGCTTCACTGCCTCAAAAAGTGATCAAATGCCTAAAAAGTGAAAGTCTGTACGTGAGGGGTCGGGTGAATATGGAGGGTGCAGTAAAAGTTTTAACTAATTAAGTAAGGACAAAAGGCAAACAATGGTAACCAATCCATGGATGACAGTATTTTAAACAGATACATTTGTAAATGTAGCCGAACATGTATCCTTGCAAGTCATATCTGATTTGACTAAAAAAGTCCATCTATTTGCTGGGGTCAATGCATTAAGCCAGAAACACACTTACCCGATGCTACCCGACACAATTTCCAAACTCCTATTTCCCATAAGATTGCATTACCCCCGTTCACATCTACCCGATGTTATGCCACACTAACCTACCCGACGCTCTGCGATCCCCACTGTCCAGATTTTCGTCAGGTCGCACCGAGTAAAGTCGAAGACAAAAGAACCGGACACTCATATTTTTATTCGAACTATATGTATTATTGTCGTTATATTAATTACAACATACTTATTTTAATATAAACCAAATTAATTGTGATTAAAAAATAATTAGTTTTTATTTAAAAAATTAATTTTAATGGTTTGGTAGAAAATTAATCAAAACACCAGAATACGATTTTTTGATATAACGAATTTAACTAACAATTTATTGTACTCGCTTCGGCGGTAATTATACTAAAATTGGAACCATTGGAAGAATTTACTACACGGTTTTGCTCATAAAATTTAATTAACAATTTATTTCATAGTTTTGCTCGTAAAATTACATCATTTTGTAATGTCGGAGAGCATCAGAACAGGACGCTCATATTTTTTCCAAGTTTATTTCAAACTAAGTACATGTCATTTTGTCATTATATTAATTACATGTTATTTTAATGTAAACCAAATTAAACGAGATAAAAAATGCATAAGTTTTTATAAAAATTGTTTAATTATGTTGGTTAGGAGTAACTTTATTTAAAACAATTAAGTTAACAAACAATTTATTAGATGGTTGTGCTCATAAAATTTAACTAACAATTTATTACAAGGTTTTGCTCAAAATAGTGCATTAAGAACAAAAGATGCATTGCGATTGTGATAGTGATTATTGTGATAAACGCTGTGGACTGTACGCGACGTGTGCTTGAATTGGATAGATGTGCACACCCCACCAATAACGTGGCAAGGCGTCGGGTAGCGTCGCATGGTGTAACATCGGGTAAGTGTGTTCCTGGCTTTAAGCAATTTTGTTGTCATTTTGCAAATAACTTTAATTATTACTAGTCATCGCCCCGAGATTGTTTCCCATACCTTTCATTTTCTTACACTTCTTAGAATGTCAAAAGTCAGTCAATAAATAATATACAAATTATCCGTTTTATATTTGCTCTGTTGAAAATAGTGGACTAAATTATTTGGAAGTTCATCGTATTTACACTCTACTACTATTACTTTTGTTTATATACTTTTTCTATCACAATTATGTTCTCTTATTTTTATTTTATTTATTTTTTTTTTTTTTTAAATAATGCAATGTTTCGGAGGTAAGGTCTACTGTCGTAAATCGATGTACAGATGGTAATTCTTAATTTATTTATCCAAACTATTGGGTTATCCGAAAGATAATGCATCTTTTCATGTTTTCTTTTAATTACTTCTCTATATAATACACTATTTATGTTTGATGGATTATTCTTTTGTACAGACGTCAACACTTAAAGATGTCAAAACATGGCTTTCACGTAATTTCATTTCACAAGTTTAAACTCAGTCAGAAAGTTGCCTAAATGACCAGAAACATGAATTATATTTGAAACTTTTAATTGAACTAGCAAACGCTTTTTTTTTCTTCTTTGTTTTAAAAATAAAGTTATTTCTACAGTGAGGGGTTCCGGGGTGTTTTTGAAGGGAGAAAATCTAGCGCCTCAACAACTTACATTATAATGTGCAGGAAGTTGAATAAAAGCATTTAATTGTTTTTATGTGCATTTAATGTATATTAATTATATAGTGGAGGAGAAAAATGTTATAAAGCAAAACTTACTACTATCGTCACTCGAAGATTCTTGCTTCTTTGCAGGTAACTGAGCGGGTTTCTTAGTTACATTTGTTTTTGGTGGCTCTTCGTCAGAAGAAGAATCATCTGAACTTTCCTTTTTAGTATCAGCTTTTTTCAAAGGTGTTTTTACCTCCTGAGGTTTTTTCAATCGAACTTCTGAAAATTTAAACATCAATTTATACTTTTTCAAAAAGGACTAAGAGTAAAAAAATATTTTAAAATTTACGTTTTGTTGTTTCTTCTTCACTACTACTATCATCGCTTGAAGATTCTTTCTTTTTAACAGGTAAGGTCTTTTTTTCTGCAGGTTTTGTTAGCACAGCCTGTTTCTTAAGAGCAGGCTCATCATCAGAGCTGTCATCGCTACTACTGCTCTCTTTTTTAGTGGGTTTCACTTGGGCGGGATTCTTTTGCTGAGGTTTGACTGGAGTCTGAGTTTTGTGCTGCGGTTTGCCTGGAGTCAGAGTTTTGTGCTGTTGCTTTGCTGAACTTTGAGTCATTGGTTTGTCATTTTCGCTTGATGAGTCCTCAGAACTACTACTTTCAGCCTTCTGGACTGGCTTAGCATTCAGTTTTTTCACTGGAGAAACAGCTGTAGGTTTTACGGGTTGTGGTGCCTTTTTTACACCCTCTTCTGAGCTATCTGAATCATCAGAACTGCTGTCTTTCTTAGCAGTAGATCCTGCCGCTAATTTCATTGGAGGCCCTTTCACTGGTGGTTTTGATGGTGCTTTTTTAACCGCTTCCTCTTCATCACTGGAGTCCTCTGATGAGCTGGGTGAGAAAACAATTTACAAATAAATTCTTATAAACCATAGACAATATCACAAATCTCACCTTGTGTCTGCTTTAGTGACTGATGTTTTAAGAGCAGGCATACCATTTTGGGGTTTAACGTTCGTTTTAACCGGAACAGTTTCATCTTCAGATTCTATGAAAAAAGCATTCATTTATAAAAACAGACGTATAACTTAAATTCAACTCAAATTTTTCACTTAAAGCCACAATACTCTTTTTTTCTATCTACTGCGAATTTATGAGTGTTCTATCTTAACTTTAAAAAATTAAATGTTTATACAAAAATCTATGTAAAATAAATTATATACCTGAACTAGAATCTGAAGAATCATCCATCTTTTTGGAAACTGCATTCAGATTGACTTTCTTTGACGAAGTACTGAAAATATGATGTTGGTTAATGACAAAAATTTCAATCGAGATTAATCTAAATTATCGTTAACCCTCTGCCGGTTGTGTTCTTGCACATAAAGTTTTATCCAATTCAATTTTTCTATTTTTTTTTATATATGACCATTACTTATATAGGTATCTTGGAAGTGGCACAGCTGAACATTGATCGCTCACTATTCTATATAGGTATCTTTTTAGATTGTTTAGGTAAATTCAAAAAGTTTTTAATTCCAGATTTTTTTAAATTAATCTTAAAAAAATTAATTCATATTTGTCAAACAAATAGATAAAGAAACTAGTGCTGCTCTCGCCATGACGAGTGGCTTCTACTTCTAATCAAAGTTAACAGGTTGGTAAAAAACAATTTTTTTGTTTCGTTTTGTAGGATTATTTTAATTGCGATTTTTCTATTTTATTTCAAATAATTGAATTTTATTTGTTTACTTTAAAGAAAAGAATATTAGTTTTTTTGTGATTTGGATTTTATTTTATTTCTATTATTTCAACTGCGCAAGAAATACCTGCTATATAATTTTTTTATTATTGTCCCACTCGGCACATACTAGATAAAAGATACCATATACCTTCATTACACTGAGACTTATTTTTTAAATTGATCTGTTCCTAGTTGAGGCTCTAATGGTTCTGAACCATATTCAATTTAACAAGTTCAACATGTGAAAGAGGACTTAAGCATTCAACTACAGTAAACTACTCAAACTACATTAATCTTACTTATAGATTATAGATTTTATGTTTAATTAATTCAACTCCTTAAAAAACTGAAATCTACAATAAGGAAAAAATTACCTACCTTTGGTAATTTTTAAAAATTTCTTCCAATGTCGGTGAACCTTTTGGTAAAGCAGCCTGGAAAAAAATATTATTATTAATTTGTTATATTCGCCATGTGTTACATATGTGGAATATTTTCATTGTTTTGGAAGATGGGTTTTGAAAAAATGATCGAGTTTATCATGTTTTTTTACATGACTGAACACATTACACTGTGTCAAACAGCATCCATCAATGCTAAGTTGTGTGTTTAACATACGGGGAGGAAAAGTTTACGTTTTAACCCTTAACTCTTTATGATGGTTATCATTCATCATTGCAACGAATGTCCATACCAGCACCTACATGGACAGAGAAACAGTTCCTCCCTGATGATGGCACAAAGCTGAACCTGATAATATTATCGTACATTAGGATTGTGGTCAAGAGAAAAAGAATTGCATTTTTTTTTTTTTTTTTTTAATGGCAATATGAACTCTTATATTAACCAGAGTACATAATTCATTGTTTAAATGTAGTTGGGGGAGGAAGGGTATCATAGAAAAAAAAAAGACCAGGACGACGATGGGAATCGAACTCATGACCGTGAGGTCTACGAGCCAAGAGTCTATATCACACTAACCCCTCGGAAACTGTGGTTCTCCCCTGATTTGCACAAATTTATCAATTATAACAGTTATTTACATTTGTTTGTCATTTATTATAATCCAGTTTATTAATATGTTATTCTTAGAAAGATTTCTACTACCCATGTCAAACACTTTTTGCAACAATATAAAGGAAAATTGCCACAACTGAAGGAAAAACAAAGAAACAATGAAAATCTGTATTGTGCCTATACATATCGTCTGATATGGATTCAGGTACAACTGTGTATGGAGCCATTTACCACAAATACAAATCAGAATGAAAAAGAGTTTAATTATGAATAAACAAATAGTTAAAATAAACTGACTCTTTACGGGGTTAATTGTAGGTGACACTTGTTTAAATTGCACCAAAAAATAAATAAACATGTAACAACTTCTGTTCCCTGCTAAGTTCAACGTTCTTTTGCTTGAAAAAATTCAGGCCTTCTTTAACCTCAAACCTTAATAAATGATTTTAATTTTGACTGTGGACGCATTCTCCATCATTTCTTTGAGTATGATTATTATTATTTATTTTTTACTTTTTTATTTTTACTTTGGCTACATTTTGCATGATTTGTCATCATCATTAAACAATAAAAAGTATAAATAATCTTTTTGGGTTTTTGTAAGCTGCATTTGAACACCCATTGTCACCTCCAGGCTGTTTGTAAATAACAATGTTTATCGGCCAAAAATGTTTGCTATGTAGCAATATGTCATCTATTTTAGTAATTTTACTACTAATGTTTAGTCGTACTATTTAATTGTAATATGTGTTTGGGAATTTTAAGTTTTTTTTGTCCATGTTGTTATTTTTAAATAACATTACATACTAATATACTTATGTTATATGTATATCAGTAACATATGAAAAAAAAGTTTGTGCACAATATATTTTGTGAGCGTAAATTAAATTTGTATTTGAGGGGGAAATTTTTTTTTTAAATAAGAAACACGAATTTTGAACTTGGTAAACTATTATTTTTCAAACTTAGAATACCATCGTGAGATCTAGTCCACCATTTTGGAATCTATACTAACAATCTTAGTATCATTAATAAAGGCTATGAACTGCTCCTAACACCCATCTCAATCATCATCATCATCAATGTGACTGATTGTTCCCATTGTCAGGTGTTGGCGTAAAAGTGTAGCACTTGGGGGAATACTGGATGTCAATTGCGAAGATAGGTTGCAGACATCTGAAAATGCATTTAAGCCGTTGAGCCAGATGGTGCAGCAGACTGCTATAATTCATTTTAAAAAATTAAAGAAAATATCTCATTCTTTGCCAATGTTTGAAAAAAAAATCATATCAGGTTCTTCATCACCACTTGTAAACTCAACAGAATCCTTTCCTCTTTGTAAGAAAAAGGGAGTCAAAACAATCTTCATAAATCCATTTCATAATATTTCTCACTGTCTATCCACTATTTCCTTTTTCACTCTTTAATGCTCTTCTGTACAAATCCCACGGCCTGTCGGCATACACCATTGTAGCAATGTTCTGTATCATGCACGGAACATGCCTGACAAAATATTCAGCAAATTGTTGAATGCACAGAGGTGGTACGGACTAGTGTGCGTTATGCCTATCTAGTGGTTCAAAGAATTTTTTTTTTAATGTATCGGTACTGTTACGCTCCTAGTATGATATATTGTAGTGGGCAAAACCTTCTGAGTGCCAAAAAATGTATATAAAAATAGTAATAAAATACTTTATTTTGAGTATAGGCGTTGGAGTAAAAATAGTGTCCCCTGTCTTAGAACAAGTTCTAATTGTTAAAGTAAGAAATTTTTTTGTTTAAATTTCCATAGAAAAAAAGCTGTAAATTTGATCACCCAGACGAGAATGTGATGTTCCCCACTAATCTGGGAATAATTAAGCAGTTCGTCAAAAATTGTCACAGCAAACCAAGGAAACCCAGCTATAATTACAATTAGTCAAATAAGAATGTTGAATGGTGTCTCAGGCCCAGACAGGAGCCACGGGATTTTACCCACGAATTTAGAAAACTGTAAATTGATAGAAATGATGAATGGTGAGTGCGGTGGTGAATGAGTGAGTGCAGTGTTCGATCCTTTTTAAAAAGGATTGAACAGTAAGTTGTTATAGTTGGACAACCGATCAAATAACTAATGTCAAGCTATTTAATGCTGAAGGGTTGTCAAAAGGTAAAACTATGTAGACGTGGGACATTGTAAATCAGGATCGCATCAACCACGTATGAACACCCGTCTTCGTGAATCCACCCGTTGAGTGTGGATCCCTCCGACTTTTGTTTTTCTTTTCCACCCCTACTCTGATAGAAAAACTGGTATAAAAAGGGATGGTTTAAAAATCAAAAATCAGTCAAGATCAAGGACTCATACCAGGCAGTGAACAGTCGATTCCAGAACGGAAGCAGCCACACTCCCTCTGGGACTCAACAAATGGACTCAGCCTGCAATCCATTGGATTAAGTCAACAGTCAAGAAACAGGAAAAGTGTTGGGGATGCTATGGACTCCAATCGTAGCGAGCATCGTTTGAGGAAATTCCCATTGTTAACTCATTCAAGATTTAGGGTTGAAGCTTACATGTTTAATTTATTAAGATTTTGTTGTTGTTTGTGAACATTTAAGAGGGAATTGTGTTAAAGTAAATGTTGAAGAATGTACTCTCTGGTTTATAAAATTCTAGAACCTTGCCTTCCCCCAGAAGAGTAAGTAGCGCAGCGCTTACGCCGATTATTCTAAACAAAACCCAAAGTGTTAGAACTGAACTTCAATAAAATGCGATTAAGGCGGGAAGCAATATAATTATACGTAAAATATACGTTAGAAGAAAGAAGAACGGATTAAATGAGAATAACAAGTTATATTTGAGATGGGTTACAGTTCATGAGGGACCACGTGGGATTTGAAAGGGCCGACGTGCAGCCGGCCTGGAGAAGTCGCTACTCACCGCTTTCGTCTTCTTCTGGAAAACTTGTGCCAAAGTTTTATCCTTTTTGTTGAGGTAGTCGAAGACCAAGGAGACGAGGGCCGAATCGACGAGGGTGGCCATCTCAAGAGAGAAATTCAAACGACTATTATTAAAAAAACTAACAGCCGAAGACAGGTCTACAGGAGAATCCGCTTCTGTGGCGTGGACAAGTGACCGATTCGGAAGTTCTGCGCACGCCGCATGTTCGCACTCCCCAGGACTACACCACGCCAAATCCCCCAACACAAAATTTACCTACAATCAATTTTACAAGGGTTTTTTTCTTCTCCAACATGAATGTTGAACGACACGAAAATTATTTTCTAAACGTGTCAAAAGACTACTTTAATGAAATATTAACTGCGGTGTCAGAAAGTGAGATTCATTTGAAAAGCGCCCCTCTCCTGTTTTTTGTTTTTTTAATTTCAACGACAACCTATAAATGTTTCATTAAACGAAACACTTATAAATACACAATCTCCCAAGCTACGTTGTTAGGGTAATACAAATCTACCTGCAGAACATTTAGAGTAATGACTATTTAGAGATCGTGAGATGCGGTCTGGTGTGATGTAGGTTTAGAAAAACATTTTTTTTATGGTCAACGTTTCGGTCTTTATTGAGATCATCTTAAGAGCGTGGGATTTATAAACGTTATTTAAATTATACAAATACATGTAAGATGTGAAAATGGATTTATACAGTGATGTACACAATATAGAAATTTTAGGTTTAATCAAACCATACAGTTAAAAAATATAGTTCAGTTTATTTTAATAATATTTCATACCCACTCAAAACTTTCTTTAAATGTTATGCCATTTATCACATACGTCATTTACTCATAGTTAACTTTTTATCTATATTCAAATTACATTAGGTATTTTAGTTTTGACTTGTAATTAGCTAACTGCAAAATTCATAACCTGAACGAAATACTCAGGGTTTTTAATTTTTTTTAAATTTTTATATTTAAAAAAATGAAAAACACTTTAAAAACATAATAATAAATCTACTGTTGTAAATGAGGACATACAATTTTTGAGATGGAAAGATTGCTACTGTCATTCTTCTCTATTTCGTGTACTCAAGATAATGTATATTCAGATTTAAGTATATTTAGCTGTACTTGTACTGAAAAACCATCACTGCTGATAAATTACAATAAATTATTATCTAAATACTGTTCTAATTTAATGAAAACATTCTACAGAACGAATCTACATGTGTATTATTTAAACAATGTTTATAGATCCCAGGCCCTGAAGATGATCTCAATAAAGATCGAAACGTTGGCACGATAAAGAAAATGTTTTTCTACACGTACATCACACCAGACCGCATCTCACGGTCTCTAAATAGTTGTTACTAATCTTCTGCCCTGCAGGTAGCTTTGTATTACCCTAACAACGTAGCTTGGGAAATTAAAATGGAGTGAAATGTACGATACATCTGAAGGGGTTACTTCATAATTTTTGGAAATGTACGCATCTTTTAATGAATATTACATTTTATTCTTTAAAAAAAAGTTTGTCAATAATAAAATTAATTAATTCATATTTTTATGTAAGGTTTTGGTTGAAATGAAAAAGTTAGTGTCACTAGCTGGATTTGAACCCATGACCTTCGCCTTCGAATCCCGCTCGTGCTACTAACTTTTTAATTTCAACCAAAACCTTACATAAAAAGATTAATTGATTGAAAGAAGTAATTTGGTCAATCAAACCACTAAATAATGGATTCGTTGATCGACCTGCAGATAATCTATGTAGGATGTTCCAATCTTTGTAGGGGTCATTAGTAGGGTGAAAAAAGACTAAATGCCGGGTTCACCAAACTTTCGGAAATTTATAGTGACATCCCCAGGGCCTATTTTATTACAATGGATTTAATAAAATTAATTGATTATCACGGTTCAATGTACCCTCTTCGAGCTGTGATGTATTGCACCTTTTACGTGAAGTCCAAGCTATGCCCATTTTTGCTAATGTGACGGACAAGGTTTGTTTCGAATTTTTAGATTTTTTGAATCTCGAATTTTCGATTTTTTTTAGTAGGGGTGCATCTTTTGGATTTATCGATAAAAATGTCAGAAACGTGAGTTTTTGTGCCCTCCCCTTGGAATTTTGAAAAATCACGAAAATTATAATTCTCAATCAATCAGGCTGATTTTTGTGTCGTTCCACGCTTAAATAAATGCACTATGAATCCATTTACGTTTAGTGGTCTAATTGACCATATTAATTATTGCAATTAATTATTCTTTTTATGTAAGGTCTTGGTTGAGATGAAAAAGTTGGTCACGCCCCTTTTTACACCATAGCTCGAGTGGTTAGAGCAGCGGCGTATTGAGCCGAAGGTAGTGGGTTCGAATCCCGCTCGTGACACTAACTTTTTCAACTCAACCAATGCTCTATGATGTTGTTTCGAGTTATTTTATGGTACTAGTAGTGGTTTACTTACTATTTCACAAATAAGGCCAGAAAACGTGTTTTTTCTTGGTTTTTTAAACCTAGCTCTGTACTGAAGGCTTTCCGGATCCAGTTTTTTTAGGACCTTTTTTACTCAGTGTTCAATTTTCTATAAGATCTTGAATTTTTTTGGGGCCACCCAGTGACAGATAGGTAGATAGAAGATAGATACAGAAATTAAGAGAATCTAATAATTTAGAGATGGAAGATTGTATGGTGATTGGACAGTAGTTCTCAATATTAGATTTGTCACCACTTTTGTATATTGGTGCTTATGTAGCTCTGTTTAAGTTTTTAAGAATTTCAGAAAAGATGCTAGAATTGATTGCAGTAACTATTGTTTCTTCTTTCATTTTAAAACACATTTCATTGGTTTGATTTTTTAATTGCGCATGCGTTGGTCTGTTAATAGTCTGCACCCTGTAGGCCGTAACCTTAATTTTTTTTATCTTGACTCCCTTTCAGCCGGTATTTCTCGCCGTGAAGAGTGAACGTGTAGTGCCCGGTGACTTGTGAGGCCAGTCGGGTAGGTGCATCATCAGTAGGATCATCATCAGGAGGTCAAGTTTAGAGTGAGCTAATAGGCAGAAATAAAGTTTTAGATATGGCCGTGAACACGATCCTGCTCGACTTCACCGTCAAGTCTTCCGAGATGCACATGCACGAAGAACTTGTGACGAAGGTGCTTGGTAATTACCTGCCGCAGCTGAACAAAACGTTCAACCGGCGGATGGACGACGGCGGCTTCCTCCTCGTCCTGACCGCTGACCGAGGTGCGTTCGTCACCGTCCGAGGATTCCCACAGGGCCTCATCACCCTCAACATAGAATATTACAAGAAGGACTCCGAAGAAGAGATCATCAATTTTCGGGTAAACAATTATTATATCACACCGTTGAAAAAACTTCCCCTTCAATCTTGGTACGATCGCCTTACTACCAAGCGATATTTCCTATTTAAGATGGACAGATTAACAAATGTCCATTAATTCTTTCCAATTGAACCAAACTATTTTAAATTCTCATCCATGAGGTGAAGTGTTGCCAGTTAAAGCAAGGCGATTGATTAAAAATTAATAAATAAACTTAATGCCTACGGTTTCGTAGAGGACCCGTATACTGGCAAACTTAAGCATATACAAAGTACCCTATTAAGAGCTATGTGTTTTTTAAAACGTTATATATAAAGGAAAAATAAAAAAATACCTTTTTGGGAAGCCATAATTTAAAGAATTGATTGTGTCAGAATATTAATTTTTGTAAAAATAATAAAGATAGTTTGTAATAATTGATAATTCATGTAGCAAATGCAGTCATTGGAAGCACAGCTCACGTTTGTACTTAACACTCGTCGTAGCAAGCTGTTTCCAACTTTAAAGCGAGGTGCCGCCATCGACTTCTATCTGAACTCGTCAGGTATTGTCAGATGTCCGCATCATTTCTAAACTTAAAATTTCATTTATGTCCTTCACCGTTATTGGCATGTTTCTACCATCATTTACCAAGCAAACGGGCCATTTCGGATACAGGTAACGAATTCATTAAGCTCACTTCTCCCCCTTTAATATATGGCTTGCCAAATGGGGTTTTATTTTTCCATTCGAACTTAATGCAGAGTTACAATCATTTGCATGAGCCTATTTTTATTTTATTTTATTTTTATTTTTTAAATTTCTGTTTGTCGAAGCAATGTGACAGTAGTGTTGGATATCCAGACAATCCTGAATGCTACCATTTTCTTTTATTATTTTTTTCTTCTTTTGCTTGGTTAACACAGCAAATCACTAAACTGGAAAGAGAAATTGCAGAACTTTTTGGATGCAAGAAATACAACAAATTCCCTCCTTTGAGGAGAGGGGGAATTAACAGATACTACCCAACATCAGGTAATATTACCATCTCTTTTCATCCACTTTTCTGTTTAATACACGTAGAATTTTTTTTTAAATTTAATTTTCAGCCATTCATATTTATTACCACATGAATGTAAATAATTCATTCAGTCACTATTCAACATTTAAAGTTTATAACATTGAAACTTTTAATATTTTTAATTTATTGAATAAGACTGCATTTGGACTTGTATAAATTACTGATTTGTAAGCTTAAATCTGCACATGCACATATACATATGCATATGTACAGAGCCTCATAGTACATTAGCAATTCCAGTTTGTGTATTTTACTGCTGGGGGGCTTGAGCCAACCCCAGGACAGCTGTCAACAGCTATGTCATTTCAGCTCCCATGCCATCAGTTTAAATTCCAAACCTATTCTCACTCTCTTACTCCTAGATACATTATTTCCTATTTATATACCATTCACTCAGTTAAGCTGATGGAATACTCAATATTCTGTCATCAACCCTCTTACACTACACATTCACGCTAATAAATACATTCACTCTTACCACACATAAGGGATACAAAACTATCAGCACTATATTCAATAAAAACAACCTGATTCCACCAAGAATAGGAACCGGGAGGGGGTGTTAGTGACCGCAATGGTTTAGGGATTGACACAGCGCTCGTCACTGTAAGGTAAAGGTCCCGAGTTCGAATCCAGCGCTCCAGCATTTGAACCTGACATTCTTACAAATTTTTTTTTTTCTCAAAAAACACCATCACCCCAAGGGTTGATATGATCTGTGCTGACTGTTGAACAAGGGCCCAAATACTCGCTGATATGTTCAAGTAAAATTCTCATGTAGGGTGGCATTTCTGTGTGCTCTCTATACGGACGCAAGGAATTGCAGCCTTCAATTAGGGGGAGCACATTGAGCAACCATTCTCTGTATGCTGGACAAATAAGTGGGCTTCGGTCCAATAATTGTCCAAGTGTCAACCTCGCATGGCATAATCCTTAATCGGGTGAGGATGGCCCTTCTTTAGTTAGCTTCTCTGTGGCCACCAATAGACCTCTTGATACACATCAGCTTCTCTACCAATCCTGCCCACCTACAGTGCCACTTTAATTTTTCACTTTTTAATCATGTTTTTAACTGAATTGCGTATATCAGTATTAAATGATAAATTTTATCCGTATCTTCCAAAATGGTTCCAAATTGCATGAATAAATCAATATTTGTGTTTTTAAAAAATTGATCTATGTATCATATGAATCATGAGTTGGCCAAAGAAGAAAAAGAGATAAGATTTTTATATATTTGCAATTATAAAAAAAGAGTTTAATTAAATTAGGGATAGTCCAAAAGACACGATGTGGTGGTAAACTACGTGTCTCTTGGACTACCCCTAATTTAAAGAAACTCTTTTTAGGAAGAGAAAAAAGACGTGGAGTCAACTAAATAAAATATTATAAAAAACTGAAAAAACAAATAAATAACTCTTGCTAATTCCTCGACTAACAATAAACGGAAATGGAATCTAACACAGCCAACAAAAACAAACACAACATATTGTTTGCCTTATAAGCATTTTGTCTTACAGAATGTAAAGCATATAATAAAAATCAAATACATTACAATCTTGTACAGAAATCTGGTTCTAATATTAGCAGCCCTGACCTTTACTTTGTATGATGAGTGCTGTATCAATGCCTAAATCATTATGGCCCTGACTCCTTGATACAAAATGTTTTTGTAGTCACAACTTAAAATAATTATTCAGAAATCGTGAGATTCAGTCTGGTGTGATGTAGGTTTCAGAAAAACATTTTCTTTATCGTGCCAACGTTTCGATCTTTATTGAGATCATCTTTAGGGCTCAAAGTGTTTGTCTTCTGTGTAATTGTGCCATTCTTGCGTGTCGTGTTGAGAGTCGTGTCACGATAAAGAAAATGCTTTTCTGAAATCTACATCACACCAGACCGCATCTCACAATATCTGAATAATTATCAATTAACGGTCACTGATCACCACACACTTAAAATAATAATTTAAAAATAAGCATCATTCACAAAAAAAAAAAAATTAAGTCACTATGTATTAAAATTGTTGAATGTGGTGAAAACATTTCATCAGACTTTGCAATTAATCACAACTTCATGTAATGACTGCAAATTGTTACTTGTAAGTGATGCATAAAATCATTAGTTTCTATTTACCCTAGAAATATTTAGTTATTCTAGTTGTTATCCTATTTGTAATAAAAGTTGAATTATGTTGCCTGTTCATATCATAAAATAAAATTGTATTTATTTCTTTTAGATGAAAGGATTTTAGAGTATGACATCGATGAGGTCGTGTTCGAGGAGACTTCTCCCTATCAAAAAGTGCAAATCGTCCACTCAAAAACATTCGGCAACATGCTCATACTAGATGGACTGCAAAGTAAGTTTTCATCTTCTGAATTGATAACTTATTCTAATTCTGATTAATTAACAGATTTGTCTGACCGAGATTTAATTTATACTGAGACTCTTATGCAGAGAGGTAAAGAGAACTTTGCTGGCAAAGAGATTGTAATTTTAGGCGGTGGTGATGGTGCTCTGCTTTACGAACTCCTTAAGGAAAACCCTAAACTTGTTTTGATGTTTGAGGTACCATGCCTCTTTGTTAAAAGAAAAATAAAATATTACTAATTAGTTGATGGTCACAGTTAGACGAGCTTGTGATTCGAGTTTGTGGAAAACATATGAGAGAGTGCTGTGGAAACGTTCTAGATTCCATGAAAGGGCCTAACTATGAGGTTTGTTTTCTTCCTATAGTTTCTGTGTTAATTCAACACAGTCGAGATCTTCCGTGTGTTTCATAAATGTCCTTGCAATCTTGTCTGACCGAAAGATAAAAATTGACAAATAAAAATTCTGGTAGACTGTGTGGGATGAACAGGAGGAAATTCTTATAAAATTTTATGACAGCTTTTTCTAATTTGGCCAAGTCAAAGTTATTGTAATTACAAATTTAACCAAGTGTGAATTATTCAAACAAAGTCGGACTCTCATTGACACCTTTCAGAAATATAAACTTTATTCTAAATTCATCCTGTTTTGTTATATTAACAAATGTTACTACTAAATAGTAAATAAGTAATAGTAGAAAATAAGAAAAAAATCTGTTTAACTGTACAGCTTTACATCCAACTGGTGTATGTTGTGGACAAGAGGTCAGACTCTTTATTTATTTATTTATTTTTTTTTTCAAATTATCAAGAAAAATTTAAATGCAATGCTGGGATTGATCCCACATATGAGGCAAATCTAATAATCAAACACCCTCAATGATTCAGTCACCACAATTCTCCTTAGTAGTCCCCATAGTTGTTTTTCTCAAATTTTTTATATTCTCGTTTTTTTATTGCATTATCTTGCTATAAAATTGCATTTCTTAATATCTATTTTCTTCTTTTTCCTTTGCATGATTTTATTTTAGCTTCTGTTTCTCTTTCTGCAATTGTCATTCCACCATGATTGTTTTTCCCCCACAATATTTTTTTACTATGTTAACTTGCATGCTGCATATTTAGTAGTATTATTGTCTGATACATTTAGTCATCATTTCAGGCAATAATAATTTATCTTGACCAATAGTCATCTGCTCCTACTTTATAATTGGACATATTTTAATGAAAACTGTTCTCCTTTTTTATAAATTTTTGTCTTGTTCAGTTGCATTTATTCTTGATAGGTATTAGCTATTGTGCCTACACGTGAGGTCTGTAGTACCGGTATGACTATTTGAGGTTTGAGGTAAATTAAGATTATAACTTCTTTTTTTCTCTCTTTAATCAAGACATGATACAGGACGTAATACAAGACTGTCTGTTGACATCTACTATTGTTAAATATTTTCAAGGTTATTTATAGTTGCCATTTATTTATTGGGTGTGTGCGTAAGTTTTTATTTTTTTTTTCAAATTTCATCTTTCATCTTTATAAAGGTGATCCATTATTACCTACTCGTCCCATTAGCTCTTGGGTGGGAAAACCTTATTGAAAGAGATTGTTAAAGAAGGGGAAGTTGATCCAAAAAGTTAGCCTAGAAATAACTGCATATTGGAAGCAGATAAAATTCATTTGAAATATTGCTTGCTATATGAGTTCAATCTAGGGCATAGAATGGCAAATATCTGTAGACATTTTTGTGGAATTTACAGTGATAATGTCGTAACTGAAAATGTGAGTCAACAATAGTTCTGATGATTTCATAATGGAGTGAGTCGAATCAAAGACAAGTCTCGATGTGGAATGCCTAACAAGCTAAAAAGACCTCTTATTAGTGGCTTTGGAACAAATTAACTCTCGCAGAGTTGTCAGAGAGATTTAAATAATTGCACAGCAATAGAAGAATCTAATCTCTGGGTTACGTTCTGAAATTCGATCCATGGGTTCCTAAAGAATTGTCAAACATGAATACGAAAAAATAAGGTTTTATTTCCCATTTGGTTACTGGCGATGAGTGGATCCTTCGCAAAAAATGTTAAAATGTCGAAGGACCATTTGCAAGAAGAATGAAACGCCGTTGTCATCGTCAAGAGGATCCCTCCTCGTAAGGTCCCATTGTCTGGCGGGATATTCGAGGAATAATTTATTAAGGACTGTTACCATGCAATCAAACCTTTATGGCATAGGTATACTGTGCATAGCTAGAGTATCTTGGGTCAGTGTTGAAGGAAAAACGTCCAGCCCTGGTGAATAGACTAGACCCAATCCAATCACCATGACAATGCCTCATTCACAGTAAAAACACCCTATACAGGGTGTCCATTTTAGATGGCCCAGCTGAATTTCTCTTGAACCAATGATGCTATAAAAAAAAAAGTGTTTCAGATTTTTTAGTGTAATTTTAAATGTTTACCTTTTTTGGAGAAAAATTATACAGGCCCAGTCCAACTTCAAAATTTAAAATACGACACTATACATCTTGTCACATCATTTTAAAGAAATTTTTATGCTGAAAACAATGGTGCAATCGAATTTTAAATTGATCAAAACATGACAGTTATGGCAAAAAGAAACCGACAGTGTAATTTTGTCGGGTAGCTGAATATTTTACTAATTCCAAAAATCCAAATTTCTCTGAAGTGTTTGAAGGGTTTTAAGAAGAGCTGTGGAAAAGGATAGAAAATACTTGTCAGTCCATCTCCCCAACTCTATCGCTCTGAGCACTGGTGAAGAGTGGTTAAAAAGAGCAAATCTTTGCATCTTTAAACAAAGCAGGCAGTTAGAACATCACTTTTTGACATATTTAATATGTATAGGGTCGTATTTGAAATTTTAAAGTTGACCTGATCTGATGTGCCCTGTATAATTTTTCTATAAAAAAATTAAAAAATTCTCCAGACGTTGCCCCTTCTAATTTTTACTTGTTCCGCTACTTAGAAAACCACTTAAAAGGTAGGGTGTTTTTGAACAAAAACATTCCGAAAATCAAACTTGATTTCTTCTTTTCTATGTTATCATACTTGTACAAAAACATTTATATTTCGGATTAAAAATAAAATACATTTATATTTTGTTTTACTTTTTTTTTTTTTTTTTGGAAACAGAAAATACTTATGCACACACCCAATATTTATTTTATTTGATATAACATGAACACTGAAAATTTCAAATGAAAAGAGGTGCCACAGGTGGGTTTCAAATCCACGGTCTTTGGGGCAGTACTCCGAGGATTTGAATCCTAACCGTGGTACACACTTTTCATCTCAAATACGTTGTTCATAACGTACCACGTATTATAAAAACCTTTACATGAAGATTATTAAATAATTAATAGTTAGCAATAAATTTGTTCAATAATTAGTGTATATCTATATCGGTGCAATCAGCATGTAATTCTAAAGCAACAAAGTTGACTAACCATTTACCTTTATCAGGATCCTGCTTGGTTTTTTAACCTTTCCCATTGATTTTATTACATTTCCCTTTTATTGCACATTTAATATGTCATTTTGCTTACTTGTTATGATTTTCAGTTCGTTAGCCAGCTGTAATTTTTGGTATTGTATTTCTAACCGTAGAAGTAAATTGTTCCTACTTCTACGTTAGTTATTACAACCTGCATGTTATTTATTTATTGTATTTGTGTTAGTTTTATTGCATATAAACATTGTTTCTTGTTCAACTATTGTTTCAAAATGTTTCATTTTTTGCAAGCAGTTAGAATATTCTGTGTGTTCAGTCAAGAAATTATTTATAAATAACGTTTTTGAATTGACAGTGATGATGAATATATATTCATTTTTAATTTCATTGTAATGTAGTGTAACTACTACAGCATAACAAGCACTGTATTACTTTCTAAAATTAAATAGTTGAGTGCTAAAAATAATTCATCAACAATTTATAACATTTTTATCTACATTGGCAATAGATTATTATTATTACTATTATTAAGCTTCCTGATCATTAAACTGATGATTTACAATCCAATTAAGAATAAATGAGAATTTAGCATTTTATTTATTTAATTTTTTTTACATAACTTGATAGTTCCATTATTAAATGCTCTATGACAAAGACAAAATTAAACTTAAAAGAAAAATTTTAAGTCATAACAATCCCTAGAAAATAGGTGGTAAGATGAGGTGATAGTTAAATTTATACTGTTTTTTAAAATTCATTATCCGATTTTTGTAGATTATTTTAGGCGATTGTATGAAATCACTTGAGGCAATGATCCGTGAGGGGAGAAAGTTTGACTATGTGTTTGGAGACCTAACTGATGTGCCTGTCTCTCCGACTCCTCAAAACGAAGTCTGGGACTTCAACCATCTTATAATCAAAACGTCCATGCAGATTCTCAAGCCTTCGGGGAAATATATGACACACGTAAGAGCATTTTCTTGGTTTATCAAGCTGTAATTTAATAATGGTGAAATTTCAGTGCTGTGGAGTGCCATGCGCAGTGAAAATGTTCGAAGATCAATTAATGACTATAGACAAAAACATAGCATTTTCAAAGGCGACTGCGTTCATTCCTTCCTTCCTTGAGGACTGGCTCTTTTACCAAATATGGAGGGAGCAAGACAAAAATTAATATTTATCGTACACTACATTTTTTTATAAGTCACTAATAAATACATATGTGTTATTCAACAAAGCTTTTTTTTCTTCTTTAAAAGGGCTTTTACCAACATACCTTAAACAAGATCTTGTAATTTTAATTGATATGCAAACTAAATATTTTAAATGAAAAATGTTTGAAAGAATTCCAATTATTTATTTATTTTTTAAATCTAAGGTTTTGGTTGAGATGAAAAATTAGTGTCACAAATGGGATTCGAACTGAAAACATTGAAAAAACAGGAAAATTTGAATGATTGTAGGTTGAGATGAGGAACTGGTGGTGTTCGAGAGGATTGAAGTCAAGATAGCTCAAGTGGTGAAAGCAGCGGCATATTGAGCCGAAGGTCATGGGTTCAAATCCCGCCGTGACACTAATTTTTCATCTCAACCAAAAATGTTATCAATATGGACGATTAGGACCACTAAGCACCACTAACATCTATCTAATTACGGTGGATCAAAACCTGAAAGAATGATAATAGCCATAGTATGAGTGCAAAGAATGCAATAGATTTTATTACATTATTGGAGGAAGAGCAATAGCTCTCTCACTCTCCATCTCTCATACTTACTATTACACTCTTGCTCACTCACATACTTAATTCACATATACAATCTCTCACTCTTAGCACTGCACTCTTTTTCATTCATAATTACTTATTATTACACACTCTTTCTCTCTCTGTCTATCTCAATTCTTAATTACTATATAATATTGCTTGTTTACTTACACTCGCTCTTTGTTAATTACTATCTCTCTCTCTCTCTCTCTCTCTCTCTCTCTCTCTCTCTCTCTCTCTCTCTCTCTTTCACTTACTCTTACACCATCTCTTGCTTACTTACTATTACACCATTTCTTGCTTACTTACTATTTTACCATCTCTTGCTTTCTTACTATTACACTCTCTATCTCTCTCTCTCTCTCTCTCTCTTTCTTGCTTACTATTACACTCTCTCTCACTTACTCTTACACCATCTCTTGCTTACTTACTATTACACCATCTCTTGCTTACTTGCTATTTTACCATCTCTTGCTTTCTTACTATTACTCTCTCTCTCTCTCTCTCTCTCTCTCTCTCTCTCTCTCTCTCTCTCTTTCTTGCTTACTATTACACTCTCTCTCACTTACTATTACACCATCTCTTGCTTACTTACTATTACACCATCTCTTGCTTACTTACTATTTTACCATCTCTTGCTTTCTTACTATTACACTCTCTCACTCTTTCTTTCTTGCTTACTATTACACTCTCTCTCACTTAGTATTACACCATCTCTTGCTTTCTTACTATTACACACACTCTCTCTCTTTCTCTCTCTCTCTCTCTCTCTCTCTCTCTCTCTCTCACTTACTATTACACCATCTCTTGCTTTCTTACTATTACACTCTCTCTTCCTCACTCTCACTCTCTATCTATATCTCTTTCTCTCTCTCTCTCCCTCTCTCCTCCCCTCCCTCCGTTCCCCTCAATCATGTTTTATTTTTTCTTTAAAATCCTGACTTCTTGAATTTTTGTACAATTCGGATTGTGGAGAGAACATTGCACTTGTTGGTAATAGCTGACTAAAGAGTAAAATCAAGGCAGGCTTAGACAGATAGAAAGTTTGTTCCAGCCGCCAAAACCTAATAAGTTATTCGATTATGTGATCAATCGAGAATGAGAAGGGATCACTCGATTATCACTGCATAGTGCATACAACTTACAAGTTAGAACCTTTTTAGCCGGTTTATGGACGCCGGACTGCCTGACTTATCTACTAATCAGTAGCGACTTAGCGAGGGATTATTTCATGTACGAGTTTGGCTATGTTGTTTTGTATTTTCCTTTGAAGAGTTAAAAATTCAAAATGAGCATCAAGTGGAGTGAAAGTGTTATGCTGAAGTTTTTAGAACTGTACGAAAAGTACGACTGTCTCTGGAATCACAGACTTGAAGAGTATAAAAATAAAAACGTACGAGCAAACGCGTTGGCTTCTTTTGTAGGAGAAATGGGAATTGCCGGACTTACTGTTGCCGATTTAAAGAACAAAATCAAGACGGTAAGAACTATGTATAAGAAAGAAAATTCATTGATTTACAAATCAAAAAAAAGTGGAGCCAGCCCAGAGGAATTGTACGTGCCAAAATTATTCTGGTACAAAAGGGCAGATATGTTTCTAAACGGTGTTACAACCTCAAAGGATACATCATCAAATTTAGTAAGTATGCTTTGTATTTTTTTAAATAAATAATTACACATTAAATTATAATTAATCTTGTGTCTTGTCCATTTGGCAAAGCACAGACCCTTGTTCGGAAATATATTCGGTGCATTTATCATGCACATTAGATGCTGATTTTGTGCAGTTATGACATCTTACATTAACTTGCCAATTAACTAAACCCACTTGAGTATTCTGTGTCCTCCGAAACCCAGTGTAATATATAATAATCCTGGTATTTGACTCCTGACAGGGCACTGCCACTTAAGAAGGCATGTGCATCGGATGGTACTACAGGTACAGACAGAAGAAACACTGTGCAGGTACTGCCAGGAAGAGGAGGAAACCGCAGAACTATGTTTCTGTTCTATGTTTCTGTGAAGTGTGTGGTGTTTAATATCCGTTAGTCAATGATTGTTCAGATATAGTGAGATGCGGTCGGTCTGGTGTGATGTAAGTTTTAGAAAAAACATTTTCTTTATCGTGCCGTTTCGATCTTTATTGAGATCATCTTCAGGGCTCAAAATATTTGTTTTCTGTGTAGATGTGTCATTATTGTGTGAGGTGTTGACAGTGCCCACATAATACCTACAGACACCCTAAAAAATTCCTTATTTACATTGCTCTATGAAACCACAAAATTATAAAAAATTAGATAAGGCAAGTCTGAAATGTTTCACTTTCCTTCAGGAGTGTAAGAAAAAATTTCAATGAAAATAACCCGTCCCGGCACCCGGTTCCTGGACCTCTTCTCACCACAGCTCATAAAATAGCCAGGTTTAAACTCGCATGGGAACACATGAATTGGACATTGGAAGATTGAGGATGAGTTCTCTTTATAGATGAGGAAATGGCCTCAAATCTTCACAAGAGCTTAATATGATGCTCAGAAAAAAGATACACCTCATGATTTACGATTCCTCAGATGGCATTCCACGGTGGATCGTTGATGTTTTGGGGTGTCATTTCCTTCAACACACACTCCAAATGGTTTGTTGTTTGAGGAAGAACTCTAACTACACAGTGGCACTTACAAGACATAATCAATGAACATATAGTGATATTTGTCCCTCACATCAGTGAGAGATTCGTGCTATTGCAAGATAATGCCAGGCCCCATTGTGAATCATCTCGTCTGAAATTGGTCAGAATTGAGTGTTTGGTGTGGCCAGCTTGAAGTCCAGATCCTAACACCTTAGATGAGTTGGAAACGGCTGTAGTTGATAAATGGGAAAGAATTCATCAGGTTTTTATCAGAAATTTTTCCCAAAGAATGCAAAGGCATTTAGCGCATATAATTCGTGCCAGAAGTGGAAATACATGGTATTAAATGGAAAAAAAATTTAAAATTTAAAATATATTTTTAATTTTTTTTTAATGTCTTATTTTTACAACCAAACCTATTTTTGGTAAGCAAAATATAAATAAATCTAAATGCATTAAAATTTAAGGGTAGTGCTTTAATTTTAACCATTGTCTTGTGTTCTTAACATCTTCCAATACTGCGTTAAAAAATGATTTTGCAAAATGGCAACACTAATTTTTGCCAGTGGTAAAACAGTTAACATTATTTAGCATCAAAATAAACAAGCAAGAATATGCTGCTGACCTATTGGCGTAACAATATGCTTTTTGTCTATTGCACTACAGAATTAAGAAAATTCTATCGAAAATAGTACTACTTTTAAATTGTCTTTCATTCTTCTTTAGTTTGTGGCAACTGTACTACAAACATGTATTTCAAAATTGCTGTAATAATCTAGTAGTTTGTTCCTATTTTTTTTATTTATCTTTTACTTTTTAGAATGTACCACTACATAATGGAGCTGAAAGTAAATCGACCCATAATGAAGAAGAAAACTCAGATGAAATTGAATTTACTGCATCAACATCATCATCTTTAATTACCAAAAATGGCACTCAGGAAAAAAAGCGACTTGCGGGAAACTCAGAAACAGCTAATCCATTTACTACTAAACAATTGAAGAGAGCAAATGTATTTCGTGCTCCAAATATCCATAAACGTAAAATGATAAATGAAAATATTTCAACAATAAGTGCAGCTATTGAGAAACTTGTCCAAAGTAGTAAAAGCGAGGCTGACGATGAGTTTGAAATATTTGGAAAATATGTCGCTGTACAAATAAAACAGATGCCTCTGTACGACGCAATAATATGTCAAGAAGAAGTTCAAACCCTGATAAGGGAAAAGAGATTGGAGATCTTGTCAAGAACTCAATATGTAGATCCAAAGACACTATCACCAGCAGTGGGAGGACAATGGTCGTCATCAGTTTCTGAAACATCCAACCAAGAATTACTCGAGGAGGATTCCCAAGAAACATCTGACAAATATCAAAAGCCTTAAAAGATATCTAACTTAAATGATTAGACTATGGCAGTATTTTTTATGGCGATGCAACAAAATGCCTTTGCCAAATTGGACAGGAGCCTATAAAAAAATAACTAGATGCTGCATAGGAGAGATGGCGTCTTCTTGTACTAATGCTCTTTTGATAGAAGCAGGAATATGCCCATGTGGAAAACTAGGTGGCAAGTGTCTCTCATACTCATCAGTAGGAAACACTTTTTCACCCAGCAACCATTCATAGTTTTGCTTTGGAAAGATTACTTTACCATCTGGCAATGAATATCCTTGAACTCAGGACTTTCCCTTAACATAATAACAGCGTATGAAGAGTAAGAAGTAATAGGATGAGGAGCAGTATGGAGATCCTCAACCATGGTATATATGAATGGATCCAAATGAGAGAGAGGAATCAGGCAGCAGTAATTCATCGTATCGATGATGAACACTTGCAAACAAAGGGATAATTTTTACTGCAGAAGAAATAGAGATATTGAAGGCCTTGAGCTACATTACCGAGCACATGCTAGAAAGTGCCATACTCCAATCGAATGGCCTAATTCCTATTTCAATTCCTTTGATAGTCAAAACTAGACTTCTGGACATGGAGGAAAATAATGTGTATGTGATTTGGGCAACAGTCCTCAGCATGAGCCCTTACAATAACAAGTTGCATGTGTTAGTTAAGGATGCAGCATGTAGTGCAGTTCCATGGAACAATACTATTAACAATTAGATTATAGCCTATATAACAAGGTGAAAGAAATTATATGGTAGCGTGGATATGTTGTGTCTTGGAGACAGAAAGCTTCCATACAGCTATATATTCCTGGTGGTTCACAAGAATGAATAACGCTAAGAAACTGTTCCTCCCATTGATAAGATTTTGATTAAACTTTCTTATCACCTCTGCAAAATAGGCATCACCTTAACGTTCACATGCTGTCACGGAGTCACCACTACTGACATCAACTCTGTTCTTCTCACTCCCATGGTAGAAGTGAGACTCTACTAATTCAGGTATACATCACTCCTCACCAAAATTAGCATAATTTTGAACATTGAAATTGACGATATGCATGACTTTTGTCAGACAATATAAGAATTAATTTAAATCACTTCCCTAATAACTAAACTAAAGATAAATAGTTTGAAATTTTCTGTTAGAATGGAAGTCATTCTTTTTGAAAAGATGGTTCCTACTCACAGAAAGTTGTTTCGCAACAGTCCGGATTTCGAGCCCTTTAGTTGATTATCAGGTTGAAGGGTTTCTACAAACACGTCTCTCGACATGAATTGCAAATGTCGAGTGTCGAAAAAAAGACTGATGATGAGCTAAAGGACTCGAAATCCGGATTGTTGCGAAACAACTTACTGTGAGTAGGAACCATCTTTTTAAAAAAGATTAAACTCCACACCCACTCCATCATTCATAATTTATATGGAAGTCATCCTGTCAACCAAGTGCTTGGTTGGGTCGGGTGCAGGTATGGGTAATGTGAGTAGTGGACTTTTTCATGTCTTTTATCTATGCCCCCTTCCAAACACTTAAAATAGATCAGTGTTGAAAATGGTAATGAATTTGAGTGCATGGTATGGTGGACTCCGACTTACAGGGATGAAATTACTGGGGATGGCTAAATGTGGCAATGCAAGGCCAGAAAAATTTATAATTAACGAAATTTCACAGACCTCGATAAAATTAAAATTATTTAAAAAAAAGACCTCAAAATTTAGTGGCATTCAGTTTCATCCTTCACAATACCACAAGAATAGATTACAGAAATAGATTTACTTTATACTACGAATTCTCAATTCAATAGCACTTTGGAAAATTAAAACCAATTGCCATTGGTGAATGAAGTAGAAGTGCTCTTTCACATTTAAACTTATCGCTTTAAAAAATTGGTCTTGCTCCTTTTTTAAAATTTTCTCATTGAAATCACCCATGCACGGTTTTATCTATTCCAGGTGATTTTTCAGATCTATTTCCTCGAGCTTTATCTTAAGTACAGCGACAGTGCAATTTTGGCTACTTGCAGCAATACAACACGAGTGACAGATGCCACTTGCTGTCAAATTTATTCATAAACTGTTTACATTACTAGATAGTTTATATTCCTTCCACTTGATTAATTAAAACTGTTTATGGATTGAGTAATTCTATTGTCTGTTAATTACCTTTAGTCTTATTATTATTGTATTTCTGACTTGACCCAGCAACCACCAGAGGAAAAGATAGACTACATGCTATCACATATAAATTTTATTGTGCTCGGCTGTCTAGTAAAACGTAAAAAAAAGCAGAATTGCAACAGTTACAACTGAATCGACTTTGGACACAATTTTTCCCTTGTAATCTGAAAATGTACATTTTCAAATCAAGGTTAAACAACTTCATAAGGGATAACATTTTTTGCAAACTTTTTAAAATTTATATTTTCAATTAAATTGAACAAAAAAGAGAAAATTGTATTTTTTATTAACAAACTGTAACTGTAGCAAAACAAATCAGCAAGGTTTGATGCGTTTAAAGAGGGGAGGAAAAGACAAATTTTAAATCGCTTTCCACAATGTAAATTACTTAATAAAAAAAATCATTAATTTAAAATTTGGTTTTAATTTTATTGGTTATAAAACTTAATGGTGTAATAGTTAAAAACAGTAGTTTTATTTTAACCACTTTTTCCTAAAAAAAAAATCTTCCTGAAATATAGGACCCAGATAAATATTTGTAAACCTCAAATTAAATTAAACAGCATTACATTACAAATTAATTTGCATAAAATCGATTTATGTTGATAGTTTTATACTTAACGAAAAAATTGACGCAAGGATTCGCAAAAAGATAAATCTCACTCTTATATCCAATTGCATAAATGCACAGTCAACGCAAACTTTTGATTTATCTTCAAATTTCATTATTTAGTACAATTTGCAATATAAATATATTGAAATGTATAAAGCAATATATTATACAAATATCAACAATTTTTAAATATAATATATTTACATTCTATTCATTTATAATACAAACAATTTTTAAAAAAATAAAAACTGGTGATGTTAGTCACAAATTCTACATAAATTCTTAATTATGATTAATAAACAATTATTAAACATGCAAAAATTTCAGGCATATCTTTTAGGTTATAATTGTCAGTACATCACTATAGTCACAATTCTTTCACCATTTCTTGGAAAGTTATACAAATTAGAAATAGCAAAAATAACATCATAATTCTTTGCAACTGAACACACACTATAGACTTTATATATATATAATTTACATATAAATTTCACCAATAACCATTTTTGTACATAGATAATTTAAAGTGACAAACATTATAGCATTTTAGGCACAGATACAGACAAAAGAGCACCATTTTAAATACAATAAATACAAGGTAGCCAGCGTGTCCCAATTTCTTTTCTTGATTATTAGGAACAGTTGCTAACACTGCTCTCCTTGTGTGCGATTCATATGGCCTGCTTTTGACCACATTACAATAATAAAAATTCATAACAGCATATAAATTGTCACATGATAATTTGGACCATTTACACTTATATTGTGAATAATTATATATTTTACTTATACAAATTTATTTATTTTTTGTTTAAATTATTTCCCATTGTTTGACTTCATTGGTATGAGAAGTTTGTGCACTCTTTGTTAACTCAAATATAAGAAAGAGTTTTTCTGAGTTTTTTTCTCCTCAATCAGTCTGAATGATGCACAGTTGGACTTCTGATTGTTATTTTTAATACAATGAGTACACAGACTTCCATTACTCTCTAAGGTCGAATTAGTACGGAATGTATCTAAAACTAAATCAATTACAAAAAAAAAAAAATATATAATTGTCAAATAAAATTATTACATTAAGAAATAATAAATATCTTAATGTCATTCTGAAGTTGTTTTCTATACATTAAATAATAGTAATATTGTTACTTCCCTTTAACTTAAACTCTCTAAACAAAAACAATGAAAACTGAAACGTACGTTTTCAAACAGTAAAACTATTCACAGCCTTTACCATTCCCGTTAAATATTGTTTAAACAAGAGATAGATAGCCTTATTTTGTTCATATCACTTCCAATTTGGTGGGAATGTATTAATATGGTAAAAAGAATACAAGATAATTGACCAATGAAATGTGGTTGTATGTGAAATCGACATTATTTCACATAAAAATAATTTCAAGCCATGTTATAAAGTAATATACAAAAATAAAACCAAACAATACAAATATTTCTTATTGTGGAATGTTTGTTTGGTATCACATTAACTGAATTAAGCAATGATGATGAGCCTTTACTAATATTGGCAAGGAATATCTTTTGCTTTCAACAGACCTGCTTGGCTGCCGGTGTCAACTGAAGATGTGGACTCTTCAAGGGAATCCAAATCGAGCGCCGACTCGATCATTGTCGTATCCTGCAAGAGACGCAGGCGGCTGGCACTGAGAGTCACCACCGAGTTAGGGACTTCGTCCAAATCCAGATCGGTGTCGCGCAAGTCCTGCCTAGTCGGGCCTTTTGATTTTATAAAATCGTTAGGCTTCAGTACCACCTCAGCCGCTTCGACTACTGGCCTTATTGTACACGAATTGTTATCTGTAAGATTTGAAACAAAATATTAAAAAAATCTTTGCATTTTAGTTCAAAAGAGCTTTTTTTTCCATTAAAAATGAAAACATTTGTAAGCAGTTTTAACCAATGAAAATTAAAATTTTGAAGATATTTTGGTAAAAATGTGTATTATTTAAAAATCCCAGTCATAGCGCATGCATATTTACATTACAATCGACTAATTAAGTGTACTATTTTTATATTTTACATATAAATATATTTTTATATTTTATCGTATGACAAGTTTGTAACAAGTGTTTTTTCTGCATTTTTTATTTATTAAATGATTACTGAAAAATCAACATTTGTTTATATGTACATAAAAGGTAGTAATTTTTCACCTTATATTTAATTATTCACTTACTTCTTCAGCACCAAAATTATTAATTAAGTCATTAATGATCATTTTAGTTTGCCCTGGTTTAGCTGTCAGGGAACGTTTTAATTTTTTGTCATCTTCAGTGTTGGGCCTGTATTTTGTTTAAAACCCACTACCTTGTTGGGTAGTTGACAGATGGACTAAAGCAGTGAGAACAGGTAGACCAAAAAGATTGGCAATATGACTAAATTACAGGTCCATCCATCTCTCTCTAGACAACCACATGGAGAAATCTCACAATTTACCAATAACTAGTTTGAGCAATAGATAACAGTTGAGAAAAAAAAGGTGAACCATGGATTGGAATGAAAAGTAGATGGCAGCTGTGAAGTTGGTGCTGAATGCCGAGGAGGGAGAAATTTCTCGTTCGCACAAATTTTTAAAGCTGTGCCACACGATTGCAACCTTGTATTGTCATGCAAGTGCATAATGCAATGCAGATTTGCAAGTCACGGTGAGTAGATTTCCAACAGTCATTGTCTGACCATCAACAACAAACTTCAATTACTTGAATCACCCAAATTTTGTGACTTAGGGGATAGGGATAAAAGAGGCGGCCACAAGGCCTTCTGCACCTCGACCTGCCTGAATAGATCTACTGTGCTCCCTGTCTTTTTATAACTCACTGGCCAGCTTCAGGTTGTTAATCACCTTCCATAGCTTTGCCAGCGGCTCCGTAGATCTTGCTTCCAGTTTTTCTTGTCCTAATTGCAAGAGCCTGCACCTACATACCTTCACAGAAACAAAATGTGCTCTGCGGTGAATTTTGTGACTTAGTCCATTTAGTATTATATTTATTTTTCATTATAAGGATTAAAAGTCAACCTCAAAGCATCCTATAATAGTAAAAACATGTTTATTTGTGTTGAATAAAAGTAGAGATATAATTTTAATTAAAAACAATCACTGTCAAGACTTTTGCTCAGCCTTAAGATAGTCGCACACTGGAACCAAATATGGATAACTTTCTCATCTGAAATGAGCCCTCACAATGGAACAAACTTGTCAGAGCTTTTTGTGTTTGTTCACCAACAAAGGAAAAAGAACCAAAACGGGGTGGTTGGCATGAAATTGAATTTTTTAAAAGCAATTTATTGAAATAAAAGAATTATTTCTTCTATGTCTGACTACTCTTGAAAAATCTGAACAACTTCACATCAAAAAGTGCCCTCAGACCTTGCATCCTCTGAGAGCAGAATTTTTTTAAAATTAGAAGTGCGAATTCGTTAAATAATGGGTGTAAGATTCAAACAGAACTCATTGCCTTTAGTTGCGAAAAGGGAATGGATACAAAATAGTTTAGATTTTTTTGAAAACGGGTCCTCGTAGCCTGATGCCAAGACACAAATTATAAAGAAGTCTCACTCAGGAGAGAATATATCTAATGGACTGTTGTTCTGCTCATCATGATGCTGATTGCAGTGTTGGTCCTGAAAAGTGCGCTATTGCTTTTGTAAGAAGGTCCTAATCTTTTCACCCTAGTGGGAGCCTGTTATCGTGAGACGGCACAAACCCCTTTCAGGCTAGTGCTCCATAAGCAAGTTAGCTCCTTGAGGAGTTAAAAAAAGGAACGATGAGTGATGTATAAATTCCCTTTCCTATTGTACTGGGCACCCTTAAACCATGTATGGCTCAAAGGTCCATTCGAGTCTTTGGAAGGGGAGTGACTCCACTCTACTATGATCAGGCCAATAATCCACTGTCCCGAGTTTGCAGTCAGCTGGAAAATTTTGCCTGCTTGTACTCTGTAGGCCTTGTAGTATTCTTTCTAGTAGAATAGTATTTGTAAATTCTGTTTTTTCTTCAGATACCCAAGGAAGGTATGTTCAGGTCTTGTTGGAATCAGCAGGAGTTGGCTTCCTTAAATTGTGTTCTTTTTACAATTTTTATTCTTTTTTCTGTACATCATATTAACATATTCACACATTCAAAAATATATTTACAATGTAATTTTGAATTTTTTTTTGACAAAAATGTACAAGTAGAACAGAAGAATAAAAATTGTGTCTTGGACTGTGCTGCCCATTGGTGCTTTCCAGCTAAGGGTCCCTTTTGTTTAGAGAGTTGTATAGTCACCACAGAGACCAACGGCCAAATAATTATTACATATAGAATGTGCAAACTTTTGGGATGTTGCGTGCATTTTAAATAATAAATAATCCATAGCAAATTCTATAAGTTTTGTATAAAAAAATAAATCAACTTCAATGCAATCAAAATTCTATCTATTCTTCTTGGAAGTGAGGCCTTACGCTACCAAACAGAAAAAAATCCCTGCTTGCTGGATGGACATTGCAGCGTATATGCGCAATTAAGTCGGTCGGTTCCAGTGAGAGGGCTGATTATATTCCCTAGTTTGGGAATATTTGTTCAAAAATCAGATGTGGTCATGTTTCAGTGTGAGAGCAGCCTAAGCACTACAAAAAAACCTGAAGCTTGATCTGGTCTATTTATCGTAGGCTTGTAATATCTTCAGTTATGTCAGACAAGGCTACGAGAATAAGAAAAGACGATCAAGCTATAGGTTCACTACCTAGACTCATCACAATCTAAATACAAAAAGCTTTTGTTATTTAAAAAATCTGTTCTAACCTTAAGAATATTTATTAAAATTTTAAATGTAAAAAACCTTAAGTTAATAAATTTAAATGCAATATATACAGTTGACTTCTGTGGTGTCAAGTACACATCAGTTTACTAAAATAAAAGCTTATTAAAACCCTGTCTGAAGTTCCAAAAATCATTAATATCAAAACTACCACACAGACAATAAAAACATAAAGACAACATAAAAATTCAAAGCAAAATCTACTAAAAAAAAAAAAAAGAAAGAATGGCTCTATTATAAAACAAAGATTATTAATTTGCTGAGGTGTTAAAAAAGGGTGGAAGGGGGAGACGAAACAATTCCAAATCATAGTAAGTGAAATATTAAGGTCAGTTAATCTGATTTGTTATTTGAGAATTTCAGTACAGACATGCAAACTTTTCAATATCAAACCAAAGTATCGATCAAGATAATTTATTTTCACTTACCAAACTTATTTAGCCAGAAATTGCTCAAAAGAAAACAAAAACAAATCAAAATAATCAAATCATTACCATTATCTTAAAGACTAATTAAAACAATAATTTAATTTTATGCATGTAATAAATTTCAATCATAGCTTTCTTCATCACTGCATGGGCTGGGTATAGCCAGTGTTTCATTTTTTTTATTTTTTAAGCCTAAGACATATCTTCCCCCATAAGCGCCGATATTTGTATCAAAGTAACGGTCATGCAAGTCACTCGGTAGGGTGAAATGTCTTTTAGACGTGTGATTTCGTTCATGGGCTAAAAATACATGACCTTTGGTTCTCGGCAAAGTGCGGTCTACAGGTTTTAAATGTTTGTGTCGAGCATGACGAAGAGGTAAGCTTGAGTAGTAGTGGTACGGGGGAACAATGTAGTCTGGAGGGTAGTACATACCTTGAGGCGGGGTGATCGGTTGACAGAGTACTGTCTGTGTTATCGGTGATGTGTTCTGGAATCCCTGCTTTGGATGGGGCTGTGCAGCCGGTGGGATGTTGTCTGGGATATTACTGTGAGCCCGCCCGTTTGCGTTTAAGCCATTAGCCTGTGAAACAACAATTCTATTTACCCTAGCATCAACTTTTAACTATATAATCATTCTACCAAATCAAATGTTAAATGTACTATTCTTAATTTTTTAAACCTATCTGGACTGCATTTTACTCGTGACTTGTAATTTAACAAAAAGACAAGAATCAATACATTTAATAAATAATATTTCTCCGTTTATGCAGTTTTGCACTAGTTTTTTGTTATATTATTACAAAACACTATTAAAGCTTCCCCCTTCCCCTGAGGGTTCACATCATCAGATGTATCAACCCTTAGGTGGTGGTGTTGTTGTAAATCAATTAATACAATAAGGCCATCGTTCTGGAATAACACACTAAACCATTGCCCATTCCTGAACGACACACCTCTTTCAGAAACGCCTGTTTTCAAAGCTTGTTGTAGGGTGTTGGGGGGAATTTTTGGAATGCAACATTACAGTGAGGACTGTTTTTGATCTGACCTTTTGGAATTATTTTACGATTTAAAAAAAAAAAAAAAAAAAAAAAAAAAAATCAAAGTACCGTATCCCGAGTGACTTTACAAATCAGTGCTGTAATGAATGATTTTTTTCTTTTTTCGAGGGTATTTCAAACATTAGGTTATATGAACCCTCTGGGTAACAGTGTTTTTGAAACAAAGCCCGTTTGTAAGTACATTCGGTTTGATTTCAGGGACTTTTACCTTCCAGTAATATACAACTGTACACTACAACAAATTGATCTAATATTATCTTCCAGGTTTGATAAATTTGCACATGGATTTGTCAATATGTTGGTGTATTGAAATATTAACCATTATTCTGTCCAATAGATCCAACATAAAACTAAATAAATAATTATTCAGAAATTGTGAGATGCGGTCTGGTGTGATGTAGGTTTCAGAAAAACATTTTCTTTATTGTGCCAACGTTTCGATCTTTATTGAGATCATCTTCAGGGCCTGGGATTTACAAACATTGTTTACATTTAACAAATACATTTAGGATGTGGAAAAGTGAATTTATACAATGCAAAATATATTTTTTATATTCAATCAAAGTATTTCTACTCACACAAAATGTTTGTCTTCTGTGTAATTGTGCCATTCTTGCGTGTCGTGTTGAGAGCTTGATTGAATATAAAAAATATATTTTGCATTGTATAAATTCACTTTTCCACATTCTAAATGTATTTGTTAAATGTAAACAATATTTGTAAATCCCAGGCCCTGAAGATGATCTCAATAAAGATCGAAACGTTGGCACGATAAAGAAAATGGTTTTCTGAAACCTACATCACACCAGACCGCATCTCACGATTTCTGAATAATTATCGATTAACAGTCACTAATCATCACACATTACTAAATTAATATTTGACTCGAGTGCAACTTTATTTGCTTTCTTATCAAAACGTTATTTTTACTTATGAGCAAATCAATTAATTGTAAAATTATGGTTTAATATATTACTTTTTTTTTCTAATGTTCATTTATTTTTGTGGCATGCCAAATAGACCACAACGATTATCAGGATTGTCTTTTTCTGTCATTTTGAATTATATTTCTTTTTGATATCTTCATCTTCATCTTTAGTGGCCTGAAGAGCCTCCAGAACGTAGAATTTATCAGAAGTAGAGTGAAAAGTGCAATTTTAACTCCTACATCCTGAAATTATATTGAACTCGATTATTAAATATGTATAAATATTTTTAATGGAACAGCTTACATGACTTTGGTATGAGTGTGTCAAATACAATTGAATTAACCCGATTAAAAAAAATTAATAAAACAATTGACTAAGTAAAATATGTTAAATTTTTGAATGACCATTTTTGACAAAATTAAGCTTTGAAAAAATGTAAATATAAATTCTGAAATGGGTAAGGTATCACTCGATCTCAATGAACGTACTAAACAATGAAACTGTCGCCATGTTTAATAAAATTCGTCCAAAAACTCTTTTGTACGCACTTTAAATACAATCAGGCCAAAAACATTTACATGCCTGCTCAGTTTAATAAAAGCATATCAGGCATGGTTGCAAGCTGCCAGCAGCCAAGAAAATTACCTGACATTCACCAGAAGCTCTTTGTCAATCTTTTTTGTTTTTGAGGTTTTTCTTCAACTACTTTCATCACACTGAACGTTCTTAGTTAGGAATGGAATGATTAAATTCACCCTGAGATCAGTTGAATTCAAAAGAAAACAAAAACCATAATAATGTATTAGTGTTTTGAGTCAACAGCCTAATAAAAATAAAATGTAAAGGAAGAAATTAAAAAAAAACCATAATAATAATAATCAAAAACTGCAAAGTGAACAAACCTGTAATTTTTATTTAGAAATCGATTAACGGTCACTAATCACCACACAAACCTGTAATTTTTTTTAAAATTACTATTATCTACTTTTAACTTCAATTCAAACATTGTGAGCCTCCAGAAGTGTTTCTTTCATTTACAAAATGAAAATAAAAGGTTGCATTCCACATCATCATTTATTTCAAAAATTACAATCTTCCAGGCCAAGATGTTTTTGTTTATTTTTGACTGTAGGTGTCACATTTACCCTTATTTTTGGTAGCGTTGTTTTTTTGCTTGCAAACTACTGGAGAGAGGGAAGACTTGTAAAAAAAAATTGTCTTCCATAATCAAAATTTCCATTTGCATTTTGAGTTTCAGACCTTTCTGAAAAATTTGGTTCCATGTCTGTCTGTGTACAATAACCGGCAAAACTCCAAAACCATGAGACCAATTTTTATAAAATTTTCAGAGATTATACGGGTTGGTTTCTAGAGGCCCCCCTGTGAATTTCATCCCAATCGGATCAACTGTATCGCCTGTGCATGCACAAACATAAAATTGCGTGCACAGCTATCTTTGCAACCATTTGTCAAATTCTTTTGCAAGTTTTAGGGATTATGCGGGTTGCTTTCTAGAAGAAACCCTGAATTTTATTCCAAACAGATTAAAATGTGAGGAAGCTATACTGCCCACCCACATGGCAGACGTTTTTCTTTATGGCATTAACTAGGTTCCATTTAATTTCGCAGTAACAGCTTTGGGTTTAAAGGAGGGTATAAATTAATGACAGTTAATGATTGAAGTCAAGTGAAAATCAAGAGATTGAATAATACATGGAAATTATTGCATTCATTATGGGAGCCTTAATTGTTTTTAATTCAAAATCAGGATTGTTGGTACCAAAAATGCTATAATGAACAGCACACAGAAACCGAGGTAAAAAGGCGGCAGTCTTCCAAAAAATGTATCTTAATATTAAATTACAATGCTTTTGAAAATGTAAAGGGCACAAATCGGTGATGGCCCTTCCTGAGGTTTGAGCAGAAAACCATGTTGGCCATAGCAATATTTAATTTTTTTTTAAATTAATTTTTTTGGAGGGGGAGGGTTTGATTGGAAAAAAATTGAAATTGGAGTAAGGTTTAACAAATATTAATAATTCATACCAAATTAAACTTCGTGTACGGTGGCCACTTTAAGTGCTTAAATAAGTAAATAAGTATTGTGTGGTCCAATTGACCAAATAACTTCTTTCAATTAATTAATCTTTATCTAAGGTATTGTTTGAAATAAAGTGTTTTTAAATAAGATTGTAAAGTCCACGCAATGATTTAACTTTTTTTAAAAATTACTTAAAAATAAAACTAATGATAGGTTGTTACACATTTCAAAAATAGCTGTTAATTGCTTAACTCCTTTCCAAAATAATCCTTTCTCCGTCTCGTTAACAATTTCATTGTTCTTTATCTGAAAAAAGTTGTTTTCTTGTAATTCCAAGTTATGAAGTTGATGAATCCAATTCTTTTACAAAACAATTTTAACGGGTATTCAATTTTTGTTTGTTAAATGCTAATTATTTTTGTGGCTGTTGTACCTGAATAGGATTTGGCGGGGGAACAGCTCCATACGTCCTGTTGTTGGATATCACAGTGCTTTCATTTGCTCTGCACTCCCAAAGTTGACGCTCAGCGGTGAACTCTGGTGTGACCAGGCCTCTCCTATCTAAAAACGAAAAATAAAATAATACAGTGGTTGTCGTTTTAATGAAAAACATATTAAGCAAAACCTGAGACATTGAGAGGGAATTTTTTTAAATAAACTTAACATGTATCCCACCACAGGGATCAAGTTATGTAGTATGTACAAACAAATCAAAACCACTTATTCATTAAAAAACAAAATAATTTAAAAAAAAGACTGCATTTGTTTTTTGAGTACTCTTATTAAATCAGTTTCATGTAAAGAAGGGAAGGAGTTCTTTACATCATGACTGATCCTATCTTTTACAGTAGACCTTCATGAATCAAACACAAAAACTCCTCACCTATCCTCAGATGGGAATCTAAACTAGCCGAGTGTTGGAATTCGGAAAGATGAACAAAGTTCCCACACATCCTATAAATTGCCTTTACGCTGTCTTAACTGACACTGAACATCCATTTGTGCTCATTGTAAAAACAGGCTCAAACCAGTTCACAGTGAGAAGCTCAAAATGTGCTCAGATACTCATCTAGACTGGCAACGAAAGTTATGTGAGCAGCTCGTGAGACTCGCAAGTGTATACCTACATTTAACTTTAACAATTTTAAAGAAGCCATTTGAAATGAACTGCTAATTCAAAGAAAATGTGTGGGTGGCGGAATTACGAGAAAGACATTTTTGTATGAGAAGTCGGCTTCTTTGAGGTGAACCGTTACCCATTTTCTCCCACTGTTGGCTCCTTTCACCTGAAGCTGACTCCTCATATAAAAATGTCTTTCTATCCCAACTTCCTTCCCCACTCCTTCAAAATCCAACATATATACACATAAAACATCAATATCTCACTGGCACTCTGAACACGACACATAAGAATGACACATATACACAGAAAACAAACACTTTAAGTGAGTACAAATACTTTGATTGAATTTAACATTTCTAACATTGTACAAATTCATTATTTTTTTATTTTTTTTCCACATCCTACATGTATTTGTAAAATTTAAACAATGTTTATAAATCCCAGGCGCTGAAGATGATCTCAATAAAAATCGAAACGTTGGCACGATAAAATATTTTTCTAAAACCTACGTCACACCAGACCACATCTCACAATCTCCAAATAATCAATAATAAAAAGATTATTCTTTTACATTTTTATTATTATATCTATTCAATTTATTATATATGTATAAATTAGAATAAGGAACTGAAATGAAAAATTTGTAGCTTGGGGAATCAAAGTCATGGTAACTCAAGGTAGAGCATCAAACTATATCAGAAAATCATGGGTCCAAATCCCGTCTGTGACACAAATTTTGCATTTCATTTTCAATTGAAAATAAAAAGATAAATTGTAAAGGAAGGATTATTAATTACCTATTAAACTTGGAGGTGAGGGACCACATAGGATATAGCAGCAATCTGAGCAAATGTCTCCACGGCTGTAAGGATTGAAAACTTCTGCACCTCTTTTTGATGAAAAGGAACCTTTTATCTGAAATAAACACAAAGTGCCTAAATGAATTAACAGTACAACTGATACAAAAACATTCAACGAGTTAATATTACATCTTCGTTCGTAGTTTTGTTTTCAAGTGTTAAATAAGTATGGAATCCGGCAAGACCCACGACACTCCAAAGAGTCATGAAGCAAATCATAGCGACAACGATGCTTGCAGGGGATTCTTTCACAGATTCAAAAAACGGTTTTTTCACTGGAATAAACAAATCCTGAGTTATCAAAAGAAAACGGATACATTCGAAAAGGTTTACTCACATAACAAAAGGTGAGCCGTCGCTCCAACAAGAATAAACACGCATAAAAAAGCTAACGAGACGATGAACATATAAAAGTACCTATAATTACGTTTTCCAACACAATTCCCGACCCAAGGGCAGTGGTGGTCAAATCGTTCTGAAAAAAGGGTACAAGTTTAAATTCAAAATGTTTCACGTTGGAGAAAAACGACCAAACAACTCACCAACGCAATTGTCGCAGAGGCTGCAATGTGAAGCTCTCGGAGGCCTAAAAATTTTACAAGTAAAACAGTATTTCAATTTAACAGTCTGCCCACGAACAGTAATCTCTTTCGTCCTTGGAGGAGGTCTATATGTGGGAGAATTATTGCCATTTGGAACTTCTAGAAAATTAAAGTAAAATACAGATTAGAACCTTTTATTTGTTATAAAATAAATTTAAAAAAAAAATTTAATAGCATAACATATAAAAATTAACACATCTTAAAAGAGAAGTATATGTTCAAAAATATTTAAAGAATAATAAACAAAGAAGTGAGTATTTTATCTCATCACTTAGTATTTTATCACTAATTTGGGTGATAAAAGAGAGTTAATGGTTCACTCATAGTTAAGAGTTCATTTGTCTCAACTAATCTTTTATGTTATTAAACAACAACATTGAACACATAATTTTCTTTCAATTCTGATGTACTATCCATTAGAATTTAGTAGAATTATTTTCTATTGAAAACAGTTATCAGTTCTGGACATGTAATTTGGTCGTTAACTATCATTTTGGTCTACCTGTCCTCGTTGGTATGGTCTATCATATGCGTTTTCGCTTGTCACTATCTTCAATGATGGGTTTTAACCGAAACATATAACACTACAATAAAATCATCAAAAGTATCGTATTTGAAGGAATTTAAATTTTTGAATTAAATATGATTTTAATGAAGGCTAATTTGGAAAATTCTGCGCTATATTTATTTTACTTGTTATTTATAGTTCTTTTCACATCATGTTTTTTTTTTTTTTTTTTTTTAATTTACTAAGTTCTTTCTTACAAATTATTGAATGTTGTTTCTGCAGAATTCGTTTTTATTCTTCTATTGGATTATTAAACTCTTCGTAGACATCTTCCTGCTATCATTTTCTACTTTTCAGGTGATTGCAAAAAACGGTTAACAATTTTGTTTACACCGCCAAATTATTAATGACAATGTACCACGAGCAAGCTAAAAATAAATTATCGTAACTTTCTAAATATCTAAGAGGGATTTGTATACACTACAATTAATGGTGAAAGGGTTATCTGTAATGACTAGGTAAATTTGATGAAAATAACATCAAGAAGAGGTCTAATACAGTGAATTTTCCCTTAATGGACACCTCCCTTAAACAAATTCTGATCCTCCTGGCATCTTCCCATTAGTTTCTTCACATTAAAATCTTAAAAGTGAACACTCCCAACAAGGTCGAAGCCACCTTTTTTTAAAATATACTTTGACTCTGAAATTCTCCCTAAAGCGGACAATAACCTCCAGAAAATGAATGTCTTCTGAGATATGCTGTTTTCCAAATATTCCTAAATTATGATTATACCATACATATATAACATAAATTATACAAAACATGTAAGTACTTCTTCAGTGTGTTTGACATTTAAAGAAAAAAAAAATCATTTCATTAAAGTGGGTGAAGGTGAAAAATTATGCGTGTAAAACTTGGCTGCGAGGTTTTCCATTTGAAAGACCCAGACAAGTGAAATTCTACAGAATAAAGAACTTTTAAAATTTTACAAACATGGTAATGACCAATCCCACAGGTTATTTCCCTAAAATGTCTTCAGCCACCAGAAGCTATTTGAAAGGTGGCCATGCTTGGGATTGTAAAATACCACTCTAGAGGCCATTTATTTAAGAAAAGGTCTGAGAAGTTGCAAAATATTTTGAGGAAACCGATTTTTAGGCATCTTCAAGTTGGCTAGACAAATTTAGAACTTCACATAAGATTTCTTTTAAGATCATCAGTAAATTATAAATTGATGAAGCAAAGGACCGAGAGATGTACAAAACTGGATGGAAAATCGTAAATAATGCTGTGCCGATTTTGAACCTAAAAAACATTTTTAATTGCGAAATAGCCTTAATTTTTGCAGTTAAAAATTAAGCATTGTCAAAGAGGAAAAAATTTAATTTTTTAAATTAACTTAATTTTAATTTAACTTTGCTCTTATATAAAGTATGCTTGGTGGATTTGAAAAACACTATGGTCACAGACAAAGGCTGAAAATTCTCAGTATTTCAAGTCTTGTTTTCTTGTAATCTCCATTTTGTTTTATTAATCATTCTTTTCACTCTTATCCCAAAAGCGGACATCCCTGTATAGCGGTAATTATTGTGAAGATTGTCTAAGAAAATATCTTAAAACTGACACAAGATGAGGAAATGCACTTGACAAACCAACCCAGCAAGGAAGATTAGGTTAACTTTCATGTAATATTATACCATAATATATTTTTTGTTATTTATAATATATTTATGTGTTAAATTATAGGGTCAACAGCTGATAAAGAGGGTATTAATTAATTTTAAATAGTTTATACTGAAATAGGTGAAATCCAAAGCCGATTTCTTCCAGTTTTGAAATAATAAATTAAAACACCACATATGAATTATCAAGGCCTCCAAACCATACTGTGGCCTAGCATCTTGCCACAAGAAAGAACACATCCAAAAATGGTTCTTTAATGAGTCCAAAACCTGGTGGAACAATACCCCAGCATGAAGAACCCGAAGAGATTCATAGAAGGACTATGTGCAAGACTTACAAAGTTACAAAGAAATTACTGGGAGGCAACCGCTACAGAACCAGGATTCTGGTTGACTCCTGACAGGGTACTGCCACAGGAGGAGCCACTGGCAAGGCTATGAAGGTTGATTAACAACCTGAACCTGGCCAGTGAGTTATAAAAAAACAGAAAAGCACAATAGATCTACTCAGGCAGAGGTGCAGAAGGCCTTGCCTTTTATTCCTATTCCTATTGCAAAAAGTGAATTTGTGTGCAAAAAAATTACGATAATCATATTACCAAGTAAATGAAAAAAAAAAAAATGCTATCAGGTAGTCATAAAGGACTACACCGAACCACATCAATAGAAGAATCAAGCAAAGCTAAATAAAAACAGTTGCAGGTGATTAGGATGCATCAAGTGTAATAACACCCTATTCCAAAAACACCACTTCCCTTAAAGCTAATGACGAGAGGTTTTTCGAGGTTTATGACACATGCAGCATTTCAATAAAATGATTATCATGTTGGTTGAGAATCACTGCAGGAAAAGCAGACTCATGAAAACTAGGAAAGGTAAAACTGCAACAAGATCCTACAGTAAGGAGCCACCGGTAAGGCTATCAAAGTTGATCACTGGCTGGCGAGTTCTAAAAAACCAGAGGAGAACAATAGATCTACACAGGCCAAGGTGCAAAAGGCCTTGTGGCCCTTGTATCCCAATTCCTACCCCACTTGTGACCGTAATTCTCAATTCAGTCACACTTTCCATTAAAAAGATAAATAATAATTAATTAATTTCAAAATACTAAGTCTTCTATCACAGGAAACTTAGGATCAAAGATATTAACATATTTGACCGTTACTTCAAGTGAAGTTTTAAAATTGGGCAATCTGATGAGTAAAAATTGAGCCTTTAATGATCAATATGTTTAAATAATTATATATACCTGGGTTTTTATTAAGTTTAATTAAATCAGAAATAAACTAAGTAAAACAATTATTTATTTTTTTTAGTTAAAAACTTACGATACTAAACAATGGGTTTTTCTTTGTTTCTTGTCTGAAATTATATGGATTTGCCCCATTTCTGTTATCTTCAAACCGAATAATGTTTGGGATTAAGAACTATGAATTATATTAATATAATTGACTTTTTGTGTTACTTTTTTTATTTTTTATTATTTTTTAAAACCATTTATAAAGTATAGAAAAAGGATGTCACGAGGTACGGTTGTCATTTCAAAGCGTGGCTTAAAAGATAAATGGATTGTTAATCTCACATTCTGTAAATCCCCGTGTGTCATTGAGATTTTTTTTTTTTGACAAGTCGTTACCTATCTGTTTTTCTATGTACGCTGCTTCGTCGGGCGTAGCCCTGGGTATGACGCCCGGGTCGCTGAAGCTCGTCCTCAGCAACGAAGACATGACGAAAACGAAAAGAACGGCAGCGACGACGGGTATCGCTGGAGAAATCCTCTCCGCCAAATAAGGGCAGCTGAAATCAGGAGTCGTTTTTATGAAAAAAAGGTCGTCTAGGGCCGGAGTGTCGGAGTGACTCACTCGAATACGAAGAAGAGCGTGCAGGTCGTCACTATGAGGACGACGGTTGTGAAAAAGACGTTCGTCTGGGGTGCCATCATGATGCGCCCGTCGCAGCAGAACTTGTTCCTACCGGGGAACATCTCCCATTTCCGCGTTACCTTCGTCATCTTCTCGTCTTTCTTCCCCTCGGGATTCCGATTCCCATCTGGGATCAAGTCCGGGCTTACGGGCAAGTAGACTGTGTCAGCTGAAACCATCAAGGGACTTAGGCTTGGCACTTGGCATTTCTCGTGCGAGCGTAACCGAGTTGAAACCTGCCGGAACCCCCAGACATTTTATCGGAGAGTGAAGAATCCGAACGCCGATAACGTCCGATAATCCGAACGTCCTCGAGGAGAGAAAACAGCACGTAACGGGCTTGGTAACGGTAAAGTCGACTGTCGCCAAACCGCGGCACTCAGCCCACCAAGACCCGAGTTCAACCACTGACAATTCTCTTCACCACCCTCCCGATTAAAATGGGCCGCCATTTTGGTGTCGTCGGCGCTCCCCGCTTCATTTCGAATCCCACGTGCCATACGCCAAAAAATACAAATGCCACAGATCGGTCCGATTCCACTTGCTACGGATTACTCAGTAACTTACTTAAAGTTACTTCTATACTTATTAGTATTACCTCTTTGACGCTTTTTACAATTCAAAACGCCAACATGTTTATGAACAGTAGCTAACAAATTACCAATTTTCAGAAAATGGGTTTTCAGCTTTGTTACAATACTCCCTGCCACACAGTTTATTATTATATAGTATTAATTATTAATACAATAAGTGGAAAAAAGAGCAGCATTGTATGATAAAACTTTAAAAGAATAGGAACAGAAACTAATTTAAAGAATTAAAGCAAATATAAATTATGAGAACAATTGCTCTGAAATAATTTGTTACATTATTGTTATAATTTAGACTAGATTAAGTATTAATAACAAGTTTTCTCATGTTTAACCGGCATAGGTTCGCTTTTTGGGTCTTCACTCTCGGGGTTTTTGGATTATTCAAATGCGTTTTGGCATTGCACCATCTTCAGTGAGAAATTTTCAGACCGACATTCTTCATTGGCTATAAGAGTTTTCTGTATTGCTATGGAAAAGACCCTTGAGAAGAAGTAAGGTTTTGCAAAATACTCTGTTGGACAAGTTTAACACATTACTCAATTTATTCAGTTTAAAATTAAATACATTATCTTTTCAGATTAGTTACTAGTAATAAGGCACTATCGTAGTCAAAATAATCAATAAATGCTTTGTTTACTTTCTTGATTTACTTTTGTACTGATTAATTCATTTGCCCAAAACGTAGCATTATGCCCTTTCATTCAGCTATGCCAAAAGATTGATTTCAGTTAATCTTTTACCTTTGTTGATTTCGTTTGATATTATTCTTATTCTTAAATTTTTTTTAATGGCTCCAGTCAGGCATTTTAGTATGACATTTTAGGGTCATAACATTATTAGAGGAAGAATACTGCCAGCACAAATATTGATTAGTTATATCAGTGTAAAGGATGATGAAATATCCAGTACTCCAACTGAATGAATGGTATGTAAATAAGTAAGAATGTATTTCTATATTGATAGCCCCTGGAACCCAATCTTGTCGGCTGGACGGATAAGACACCGCTTCCTAGTATCCTCATTACCATACTATACCATGGATGGATAAGACTGAGGTCTTATCATGGACTGCCAACACCCTGGATGGGTGATTTTCAGGGACTGCCAATAATTCCTTGTAAAATATAAAAACTAGAACTGCTGATGGTCTGCAAAAAGTGATAGACTCTGTGCACGTATGTAGGTGTATGTGCATGTGCAGATTTGAGCTTGTATAAATCAGTAATATATTTTTTGTAGTCAGACTTTGCCTGTTTAATAAATAAAACTGAGAAGTATCAATTTGCTACTTTATTTGATTTGAGAAAATTCTATTTTATTCTCACTTCCCTGCTGACAGGGTTAGGCTCCAACGGGGGTTTATTGCTAGGTTATTTCAGCCCCAAATCCACTCAAACTATAATCTAGCCTAATACAGTCACACAGTTGGTCAGTCACACAAATAAATACATTCATGCATTGCACTCATTACTAGTACTGGATATTCTTCCATCGACCTACACACAGTACTAATGATCTGACCTGAATTAGGGTCAATGGAGTACTTTTATAAATATTCAGCCATCACACAGTGCTGGGTAGGCGATGGTGACATTGCATTTCACCATACCCCTCAAAAAAAAAAAAAAGAAAAAAAAAACCGTCTAACAAATGGAACAGGGGACCTAGCAACTGACTGCCATGCTCAAGAACCGGTCTTAAACCTGGCGGCATGCCTTCATGCTCTCAGTATAGACTTTAGACCTTTCTCTGCATCTTTTATTTTATCAAGAATTATACTAGACCGTTTATGTTTTCATCGGTCGTGTTGGATTCCATTTTTTTGTAACATTGTTTTTAATTGAGTTTTTCAGGATTTCTTCCTTCTGCCCCGGCCGTCTCCTTGATAAAAAAACAACAAAAACTATATGTATTTTATTATTTTGTAAATGTGAATGTGGGAATATAAAGCTTCAGAGATTTAGAACTGAAGTGACAGGTATCGGTGGACATTTCTTGCAGGACATAGGGAACCAAATGTCTGGCTAAATTTGAATTTTTCCGTTTCATGGAACCAAAGAAGGCGATGGAATCGTTGAAGAGGCGAAGAAAAATATGCACAAAGGTCTCAGGATCTTATATAACACGACCATGTCTTGCATATCACCGAATTCCTCGTACTTTCGTAGGCGAAACCGGAAATTTCCTTATGAATTAAAACGTGTTATGAGATTGAGATATATGTGAAAGGTATTTGGCGAAGGTTACATAAACAAATAAAATAAAATAATGAAAGATCTGCGTTTAGGGCTACTGAGAGTACTGCCTTGATGGCGGGCTGGCCGTGGTGCTCTCTTGACCCTGTATACCCCCCTCCTGAAATTATTCAAATTGTGGACGATCTCTCTTGATTATCTAATTATTTTAATTCTCAATTATTATTTCAAAAATTCCAAGAATTGAAGAGGGAATTGTCTGCAATGTAGGAGTTGATAAAACTGGCGGGGAAAACATTGCGTTAGGAGGCAGGTCGTGTTTTGGGTGTTGGAACTCGGAAGGTACTGGCTCTTGGGAAGTGGGAATTCGGTTTCCAGTTTCCACTCCATCGGTGCCTTCTCGGCATATGCCTGTCAAGTGTTTGCGAGCGATTTCGTAGAAAGAACAGATGGATGACCGTCCCCAGCACAGGTTGGACGGCTGTTCGACAGATGAACGAAAAGACGGGGGAGTCGACATCAACTATCGTTTCAAAGGTCAGTCCAGTCAAAGATCCTGGGCTGCTGATTGTTGATCTTGCCTTTTCGGCTTATCCGACCTCTCGGTTTCAGCCGGCACCTACCTCACTTCGGTTGCCGTCCTCTCGGGTCTGGCCGCCTTCGGGGTCACCCTCGCAGCCGTCAAGAAGAAGGACCCGAAGATGTTCGCCCGCGGCATGGAACCGTGCCCGGGGATAATGGAAGAGTCCGGCCCAGAACTCGGACTGAGAGCCTTGAAATGGGGCACGTTCTACGCCTTCTCTGGCACCTCTCTCATCTCATTGGCTATCTGGAAACTGTCCGGGGCGAATTCCGTAAAAAACACTTTTATATCATCTTTTGTCTATTATTGCAAGTTAAAGGATGTCACTTGAGCACCAGGGTAAACCCTGACCGTAAGCCGTAGACCTAGTGAGGTACAGTAATCCCTTAGCACTCGCAGTTTCGACATTTTGCGGTTTTCACTATTCACATACGAAAAAATCCGGAAAGTTTTGATATTTGCGGGTCCGATTTCTTTATTCACGGAAAAAAAAATTAATTCTTTAAAAAATGGATTGGAGGCTCATATTGATTCTCTAAAAATATCTGGCTGCTCTTCTTTTTTCTTCTCAGCTTGTTTTATTCTCTCATGGAAGTTGTGTCGTAAAATGCCTTCTCTACCAAAACGGAAACAACCGTCCCGACCCTGGCGGTAGAATAAAAATTTTGGACGTTACTTTTCTCCAAAACAGCTCAGGGGAAATTTTAACTTGGGGACTAACTTATTAAAAAACCAATGGATTTCAATCTATCTTTAAATTGAAGTTTTAAGTTTAAAAGGGATGTGTGGTGTTTAGTGACCATTACTTGATGATTGTAAGGGGGGGTCATGAGATGCGGTCTGGAGTGATATAGGTTTCAGAAAAACATTTTCTTTATCGGGCCAACGTTTTGATCTTTATTGAGATCATCTTCAGGGCCTGGGATTTATAAACATTGTTTAAATTTTACAAATACGTGTAGGATGTGTAAAAAAAATGGATTGAAAATTTTTACACATCCCACATGTATTTGTCTCTCTCTCAATCTCAATAAAGATGGAAACGTTGACACGATAAAGAAAATGTTTTTCTAAAACCTATATGACACCAGACTGCATCTCACGACCCTCAAATAATCATTTAAAAGGGATGTCGAGGCCGCTTAAAATCCTTATGTGGAAATTTAACTTAAAGAAGTTAAATATTTGGCGAAACAGCAAACAATTTAGGTTGGCACCACACTAGATGGAATGCAATGGAAGTTTTCGTGATGAAAAATCCCCAACACGAACAAGTCACATATACAGCGGAAATAAACGGAAAGACTTCAACAACTGTTTGGATATGCAGTTGATAACATGACTCAGTTGATTGTGTGTGGTACAATGAAACCACTTTTTGTTTTGTGTATTTACAAGGCAGTGGAGAAGCAGAAGAGAAAGAGAGAAAGTTGAATTCGTCCATTGAATATGAAAAGGGTAGCACTTGGCCAATTACACTGTATGTATGGGGAACTTGGACACTATCCTGTCATGTTCTTCCAATACTATGGGACTATAGCTTCATTTGACGAATGTCTTTAAAATTCCAGACAGGGCCTGTAATGAACTTCCACAATAAATAAGTCAGAGGCCATCCTAGATCAGCTTCTCTCGCAGATTGCCTGTCCAACTGCCTACTTCTTCCACTCTATGCACTTTTTTTTACTTTGCACTGTTTTAATCTGTTTAGATAGATGGAACCCATTGGAACATTCCATCGACGGATGCTGGTGCACCAATGGATCTTGACGGAGACATTACAGAATTTCTGTTCAGTCTGTCATTGGTTGTATGTATTGAATGTAAGCTTGTGCAGCAGAAATTTCCATCTCGGAAACTTCCATCATATTCCGTCTAGTGTGGCACCGGCCTAATAGTTATTTCTTTCCTTGCACATCAAAAACTACTACTAGACTCAAAATTTGCTGATTTAACATTCACGGCAGTTAGCTGGGACCAAACACCCGCAAATGTGAAGGGATTACTGTGTCTGCTTCTTTCAAAGTTGACCCAAAAAACTCGTCAAACAGGAGGTGGACTGTCTGCGCAGACCGAGCCGAAAAAGCGTAAAATTGCATCAACCCGGTTAAATAGAACGTCTGCCGCAGCAAACCAGTTTAGTTTGTAGTGGACAGAGGAGCACTTGTGATTTTCTCCAAAGTTCATGCAGTCCGGAAGAGGGTATATTAAGACCCATAGTTAAGGCTCACTTTTATATAAATAAATGATTTTATTCCACAAATGTAATATTAGAAGTTTCTAATTGAGAATAATTTAAAATTGTTTTGCAATTTACTTATGCAATCTACTGATAAATGTATGTAATTTTCAGTTGGAGGAATTTAGGGAAAAAGCAAGACAAATACTGCCAAAGTTACCAAAAAAGGAGAATAAGGAGGGGAAAAAAGAACTTTCGAGCGTCGACGATGTATTAAACTACCTAACGGCAGACAGCCAAAAAGATGTCAAGAATCGCCAGAAGAGTTAATGATTCTTGTTTCTGATCAAAAATGGCTGTGAATTCACTAACTCACTACTTAATAATTATACTACTAAAACATCTAAAATATAGTCAATTGTGTAGGTTTTTAATTTTAAATTTTAATTTTAAATGTAATAAAAATAGTTTTGTTGTTTCTGACCAACCTAGTCTGCCTACTCATTGCATTTTGTCATTAAAGTGGTGGGTTTATGCAATTTTTATCTTGTGGAATAATTTTGAAAAAAAAAAGTGATGATTCGTCATTTGACATTGACATTTCTCCCAAAAAGTATGTACTTATTAAGAATGAAACAATTTAATTTACAAATATAATACACATTTGAAAATACAGAGAAACAGATTTATATCAAAATAAACTTCAATACATGATATATTGTAAATATATCTATATATTTATAAGGCCAAATGTCTTCTATTTCACAACAAATTTAACTTAATGTAAGTAATATTGAGAACTCTTGTCAGATTTTGACCATTGAAGTCTTTGCCAAATTATTTTATTAGAGTATCATTTGCACAATAGCTGTTGCTTTTTCATCAGAAATTTAATAGTTTCTATTTTAAACATACAATTTCCCTCATCGGTAAAAAGTGTTCTGTTCCTCTTTTTTTGTCCATTTTTAATTTATGTAATCTATAATACAGAAGGAATAAAACATTTATGTTATTGTAATAAAAAATTAACATATAAAGTGGGTAAAAAGATTTCTGTCTTGTTGCTACTCTTGATATATTTACACAAATGTGATGAGGATCGTACACAGACTGTACAAAGCTGGAGTTATCACCAGCTTTCAACAGACAATCAAAGACAAAAGTGGCCACTCGTAATTTGTTGTTAATTTCAAACTACAGTCGACTCTTGTTAATTTGTAACGAGATAATTTGAATTTTTTGTTTATACGAACTCCTTAGCAGGTCACTTCGATAAATTGAAAAAATTCTGCATTTTGATACACTCGGTAAAAGAAATATTTTTTTTAACGGGGGGGGGGGGGCATGCTATTAATCGAAATGGAGCCACTTCCCATCTTTATAATTTGTGTTTCTTAGTGACCAGTTGTTTCATAATTTGCACTTTTTCTTTGTTATATTCCTGTAAATTTCCACGTATTGTTTACTTCCTTGAAGCCTAAAGTTTCTTTGAATTTTCTCTAGTTTGCTGTTCTGCGGTCAGTTTTGTCAATGTGTTTTCAGCACTGGTTACTTCGGAAAACGTTGAAACAAAAACCACTTCACTATTTTTTTGAATAACGCGTAACAATGTTCAATTTCACAGTTGATCTATTTCTACTTTTTCATTATTTTGACTATGTTTTATATACGTACAATTTAAGTAATAACTTGGAAAAATGCATATCAACTCTTAACAATTTTTTTCTTTCCTTTGATAATTCCAATTATTTCTGTGGTCCCTTGGGCTTTGAATTATCAAGAGTCGACTGTATATGTAGTTTTACATTAATTGATACAAACACAACTGTATGTATCTATTACAACATACTTATTTTAATGGAAACCAGATGAAACAAGATAAGAAATTCATGAGATTTAATAAAAATTATTTAATTATGACAGTTTGAAATAAGATTCAACAAAACACCTGAAAATCATTTAATGATAGAATAAGTTTAACTAACAATTTATTCCCTGCTTTTGCTCTCAATAACTCATCTATTTTGAAACCCCGGAAGGAATGTCACCAGACTGAGCAATCACAATAGACCCAGGAAATGTCAAAATTTTCCCCAAGTCTATGAAGCCAATTAAAAAATGAATATACAACATATGCTCATTAGGTTGGTGGAATTAGCCATGTTGAATACATGTGTATGGGTTGGGGGGGAAAGGAAAAGTATATGCGTGTATCCAGCCATTAATCCCACACAAACCATGGTTCAGTACGTTCAATGGGCCAAGAAAACATCACATCCATCTGCAGGCTTCGCCTGAATCATATCAGGCTACCATATCATTTATATAGGATCGGTATTAAAAGATAGCCCTGTTTGCTAATGTAATAATGGCTCTTTGGCGGACCAGGACCACATCTTTTTATCCTGCCCCCTAACCACAAAATACAGAGATCAATTGTATTCTGCGATTTTACAATGCAGCTTGTACAAACCTACTAAAAGCAGTATAATTTTGAGTAACATAAACCACCCCCTTTCATTGTGGCTAATGGTTTAGTTATTTAATCACGTAGATTGGAGTGTAGTATGGGTCTCCTACACAATTCACCATTGATATGGAAGATGTGAAAACACTAAGAAAAGAATTAGATGTGTAGTTCAGATCCAGGCTGTTACATACCCTGATTTAGGATTAGGGCAAGGTGACTAGCCTGCATCATGTTTAACATAGCCCTAGAAAAACTAATCAGGGATATTCGTATCTGGACCTCAGGAACCATACATATCCAAATCATAGAGATGCTTTTCATCTTGGTCCAAGTTTAGGAAGCGTATATGATGTCGAGAAGATGATTGAGTATGAAGATTAAGCTGCTTGTCATATATTTTGACAAGCCAAAATAGATGCTATTAGCATCTATGATTCTCCTGCTGTTCTCCTGGGTGATGTTAAAGGAATTAATTAGATAGATAAAATCAAGTATAGGATAATAGTCCGTATAATTAGATAAATATACGGTTTTTGTATATCGGCGTTCAATTAATCCCACTAGGTTTAAAATATCGATTATCCAATATGGATTATTAATTATTTATCAGCTTGTCCGACGATCGCAATTTGCAGGATGAAATGGTGGGAACTCGCCCGGCCGGTGGGAAATTTCGTGGCGAACTGTGAGAAATTGCAATTTAGTTTTGTGGTCCCACTGGTCTGGCACACAGTTCTCTGTTTTCAACCCTAAATGAAAAACCTCTTGTTTTCATTTTACTGAAGATTCTCACCCCATTGTGAACCGAGTGTTTTCGTTTTTTTCCCTTCACTGATACACTTTTTTTTCATGAAAATTTAATTGTGCACAGTTTTACAGTTCGGACATCATTTTTCGGAGATGAAACAAGACTGTAGTGCATGTAAGTTTTTCCAAACTTCTCTTCTGTTCGAACCGACTAATTTATAAATCTGTGATATTCCCATCACTTTCTTTCCACCGACATTTGTTTTTCGACTTTTTGAATAGTTATAAAGTTAGAGTCGAGATAGTTTTAGCTATTATAGAACAGAAACAAACGTCAAAAACCATCCTTTTGAACAACAATACCGGATTGTTTTTAAGCTTGGTGCCCCAAGCAATGGACTTGCACCAATTTTGGTTGTGGTGCACGTTGGTTAGGGTCACAATATTGGAACATGTACTTTAAATTAGGTTGATATATTCAGAAGACAATTCTTGAGATTGACACTTGGTCAATCTTTCTCACAGGTAAATAATATACGTTGTATTTTACTTTTTGCCCATTTTTTATCCGAGGATTTTGCTGAAAAAAACCAAGAAAAGCAACAAACGTTTAATTGTTCCATAGGGCCATATGGACACCATCTTTTAGTTTAAAATTAAGCGTTTTCTGCAATTTCATAATTACTTTTGATTATTAATCACAGATTTTGTTTTTAACAGAATGTGTAAGTTTTATGCGTAAATTCATTGTAAGTAGGTGAATCCGAATACACTTGTTATGCGTTTAGAAGTGTAGCCTATTGGATACCATTTGTGCTTGATTACATAAATAGACAGATAAAATACTTTAAACTATCTAAAAATAAAGAATAGGAGGTCTATACTGAACTTATTTTAAGGCTTAGTTTATCTATCAGTTTGCCTGAGTCAACAAAGGAAGGAAACCTGAACAATTAATTCTCGTGAGGCTTGGCAGGTTCTACTATCAGGGCTTTTGAACTGTATCGGGTGTGTTTAAAACAAGATGTGACTGTTCCTGTCCGAATTCCGAAGAGAGGGCATACTCTCAGCTATGTGGTGAGCTTCCAGGCCACCCCTTTATGGGCATGATTCTGAAAAATGAGCATAATCGGGTATACAAGCTTTTGGAGATTTGCTTGGTGGAAGCTGTAGGGAGGGCCGGTTTGACTCTAGGATAATACTTGAGCTGGGAAACAAACCGATGCCTCGCTGCATCTTGTGCTTACCAGGTCGCATGATGAAAAAAATAAGCTGCTTTAAAAACCAGCTTCTCAATGGAACTTAACTCGTACAATTCATGTCAAGAGACAAGAGCTTGTAATTCCTTCAACCTGATGAGCTTTAATGCTTGAAATCTGGATAGTGTGAAATCGGAAATCTGTGAGAAGAACCATCTTTTACAAAAAAACAAAACAAAAACTAACCAGGTTGTGTACCTGTACACTTCTACACCTCTACTGTGCTGCTTTCTTGAAAAAACATCAGGATTCGTTGTTAGAGCGATTCATGTTAATTCGTAGAATAGCTGTAAATCTGCATACAAGTGCACAATGTAGTATTGTCTTAACAGCTAAAGCTGGGTTGTTCATGTGACACCTATGAATCCACTTCACACCCTTAGGTCAAATTTTTGATATAGTGTGTACAGGTGCCAGTTTACATTACAATCATTCTTTCAACTGTCCTGCTGAATTCTTGAGTGGCAACTCCATAGGATTGTCTTTCTTCCCCATCATAATGACTGTACACCTTCATCTTTTGGTAACCATTTTTCCTATTGGTAGTTTGTCTAACGTATTCTATCCATTTTCTTCTTGAATACGGTCAATATTTTTATACGGCAGTTTTGTACATTTTGCACCTCTATACAACTTTACTCAACAGTTTTTAAAATTACATTGCAATTAAAACACCGAACACAGTTTTGCTTTTGTGAAAGATTTGTATGTGTTTATAAATGTAAAGTTCCCTGAGTGATGCCTACAGTTGGAAAAAAATTATCATTTTCTCGTAACGTTTCATTTCGTATTATTTCAGCGTCATGGCTCAAGTTTTTCACCACAGCTGGTATTCCAAAAGAATTTGCCGAGACGTATGCAGTGACCTTCTCGAAGAACCAGATTAACTTAGACATGTTGCCAGAAATAAAAAAAGAGTACCTAGTAGACATGGGAATAAATCTCATGGGGCATATTATTGCAATATTGAGGCATGCCAAGACAGTTCATGAAGAGGTTGAGTTTTAAAACTTTTTAGCTTTTCATAAAACTGGAATTGGTTTGTAATAACATTTTAATTTGTTTTAAGACTATAATTAAAGCCACTTTGACAAATGGAACTAAAGTTGTCTTGGCTGATGTAAAAAAAGATAAACCCATTGTAAAACCAAGTAAGTTTAAAAAAAAAAAAAAAAAAAAAAGATAAATTGTCGTATTACCGCAATTCACATATTGGATTGATTATTTCAGCACTCCCATCGCAGAATAAAACGGTAAAGCCTGAGACTGTGCAGGAAACTAAATTAACTGAAATGAAAGTGAGGTCTGTTTCTACTTCTGCACCACAAAAACGTTCCTTGGAAGAAGATCGAAACCCAGTGCAAGTTAAAATGATGAAAATCACAAATGCCACTTCAGTTTGTAATAAAAAACCTGTGATTACACCCACTAAGACAAAATCCGAAGAAGAAAATGGAAAAGAAAGTGAGAACAGAAAACGTGTTTTTCTCAGGTTGGGAAATGAAACCAGTACATCGGTTGTTAGTGAAGGAAATTCAAATGTAAGTTGAAAAAAATGTATTTACAGATAAAAGAAATCATTTTGTATTTTTTAAAATTTATTTTATTCATTCAGTTTTTACTTACTAAATAGTTTCTGGATGATATCATTGAAATAATTATTGTGTAAGATAATTAATAATAATGATAACAGGTAATAAGAATTACTACAAATGTGACACCAAAAAAAGACTACTTGACTCGTCACCCAAATTATACATTAAAAACAAACTTTTAATTTACAAATCAAATGATAAGGCCTTTTTGGGCGTACGATTGCCAAGTGTGGGGCTTAACCGAGGATTCCATTTCCCGTCTCCAATCTTTAAAAAAAATTATAAAGAAAATTATCCATCAAATAATAAATGCTCCTTTACATCATTCCCATTCAAAACCAGCTTTAAAAATTTCACCAATCACTGAAAATCTACAGTAAGACAGTTATCACCTCCAACCGTACCAGAAAATCCTCAAAGATAATTGAAGTGAAAGTGATCCTGAGGACTTATCAACGAGCGACTATTGATGAGAAGTCAGTGTGAAGAAGTATTGTCACATGGCAATTTCTCTCACAAGTGACTCAGACGACATAATCAGCATATATAGAAATTATTTACTTAATACGGTATTAAGTAATATAAATTATAAATCAATTAATTAAAGTTTTTATTTGAGATAAAAAAGTCAGTGTCACGAGCGGGATTCGAACCCACGACCTTCGGCTAGATATGCCGCTACCCTACCACTTGAGCTATCGTGAGATTGATCCACTGAATTTAATAAATTATAAATACAATATTAGTTGTGTAAAAAAATTAATAACTTAAAAATTGTAACTATTAGTTGTTTCATTTTTGTTTAGTAGTTGATATGTAATTTTTTTTAAGGGTGAAAGTGTGTTTTCAAGACTTGGTGGAAAAGCTCCTAAGGAATCTCCAGTTGTAAGAACTGCAATTTTGAAAAGCCCTCAAATTCAGAAAACAGTCAAAGCCAATAGCTTGCCTAAATCAGAACAAACTATTAAATTCAACGATGTGCTGTTAAGACAAAGGCAACCATATCAATCGAGTAAGTCTTCTTACAACAGGATTATTTCAATAAAGAACATTATATAATTTTTTTTTTGTTTTACTGATTTTTATAAATATTAATGATTAATGTGGAGTTAAAAGAATTTTAAGTTGTTACACCTCATCTGTTAGAAAGACGATGAATTGTACCAATCATAACAAAAATTTGGACTTGTGTTTTTAGATTTTTAGTCATGCTTATCTTCACTTGATTCGGAGCTTTACTTTTCCCATCATATGGCAGGATGTGTGTTGTGTGTTTTGATTAAGTTGTATAAATAAAACTCTAAATTTGGTTGTGAATGTTTGTTTTTAATTTATACCTTCACTGTAAATTAACAAAGTGAAGAAAAGTTAGATTTAAAATTCGAATCATTAATTAATATTGATATTTATGAGTGCAAAATTAGAAAGTCTGGTGGAGAATAACTTGTCATTATTTACGTTTGTTTTCTAATTGAGGTGTTTCAATTAACACGCAGGGACGCATATATTTTTGACGTAGAGAATGTAAAAACAACCGATCCTCTGTAAAATTGCATATTTGGATAGTTAAAATTGACTTCAATATTTTCCTTGAATCTAGAGTCACTTAGTATTATTACTGTTTTTACACTTTTTGTGCCAAATATTAAAATTTTGATATGTGAAAGGGATTGAAAAAACCCTTAACACATAATAATTAAATGGTAAAAAAAATGTAAACGCTACTATGTCTGATTCATTGTTATGTTCATAAATGAAGTAATTTTATGAAGCATGTTTTTTCTGCAGTAAGTTAGCAAACTGGGTATCATCCACTCTTTATTCTGCAGGCCAAAATCTTTTCTATATTGTGGCCAAATTTATTTTTATTGCTGTGCATTCTCTATATTAATATGCCTAACAATTTTTTTTTAATTTAATTGTTTTTTAAGTATAGGTTTATTTAATTTGTACTTGGTAGGACGGTTGTATTGTAAAACAAATAAGTTATACACGAAAAGTTTTAAGAACTTTTATGATATAGAAATAAATAAAGTTGCATACTTATTCATAATTTCATGAATTCTAATGTATAATAATAATTTTAGCGTTAATTATGTTTTTGCTTGTTTGTTTTAAAGGTCTTTTGCTAAATAAGTTAGCCAAAGGTACAATGAGAGCAGATGAAACTCTATCTAGCATAGTCAGATCTCCACTTTCAACTAATTTAAGTAAGTGTTTATTTATTTTTATTTTTAACAACTATAGGTCTGTTACTAAATGCAATTTGTTCCCTTAGAAAATAAACCAACTATTAAAAATAGCGTACACGCACGGCTTGGAAAATCAAAAATGGTAAGAATCCGCCTTCCGCACTCGAGTGACAATTGCATAATTCATTATTGCTATTTCAGGATCAATTAATAAAAGCGCCAACTACTCCTGTACTTAAGCAGGTACGTTTTGGGGGGATCACAGAGAAGACGATACCAAGGGAAAGGAAACCGATTTATAGACTCAACAATGACCAGTATGAAATTGTTAATAGCGTGTTTAACAAAGGTTCAATAGGCATGTCCACTGGGGTATTCAGTAGGTTAGGGATTTAAACATATTTACCGCTGCTTGTTTAGTTTTTGAAAAACGGAATTTTTATTACATATTTGATTTCATAAATGTGTCAAATGAAAAACGTGTTTATTATGTACATAAAACTAATGATGTATATAAATTTTAATAAAATTTATAAGCTTATTTAATATTTAATACCTTTTTTTAAACCTTACTTCTTCATTGTTGTAATTTTGGTTTTTTAATAACAACAAATTTTATGTATGAACTAATTTTTCAGTGTAATTTAAGTTTTCTTGACTGTTTTAAATGTACTACTGTTTACAAATCAAGATTTCAACGGAGAGTTAGTCTAATTGTATTTATTTTGTTTTTCAATCCATTTATTGAATAAGATTTTTTTGTGTGCTGTTATTAAAAATTTAATGATCATAACATTAACTGTAATTCTAATGAGTTTTATTATATAAATAAGTCAAAGTTATTGAAAAATGTAAATATGTCATGTTTAACTTTTTAAAGAATCATACTTCTTTATTTGATCCTTTCAATTTTAGCAAATTGCTCCCAGTGTATAATATGTACAATAAAAGTGATTTAGATAAAAATAGTAAGACTTGGTTAAAATATATATTTTATTTTGTCCGCCATATTCCGTAATGTTGCACTTTGCAGAAATTTTTCAACAAATTTTATGAGGTTATTCAGGTATTGACCAACTTTGGTTTGGGATATTATTGGGTATGTGGTCCAACACTCCAACCCAATAATATACATCAAATTGCAGTTTTTTATTTATTTATTTTTTAACAACATTATAAACCCTTGAGATGTAAGTGTTTTTGGTATAAAAAAAAGCCCATTTGTATATCTAGCAGCCTTACTTCAAACTTGAGACCTTTACTTTACAGTGATGAGTGCTGTGTCCACTGCCTTAACTGTTGTGGTCATTTATATCAGTTATTGGTTTTAACTTAATTTTAAAGTTATTAAAGTACATTATTTTGTTTTTGACCAACTCTGTTTAAACCAATACTGTTACAAATAGTGTCGCATGTAAATTTTTTCTTTTAACACTTTCAGCTTGGCAGCCATATTGAACTCATGTCGCTAACTATGGCTTGAATATGCAAGTTTTTACACCATACCTGTCTTAAATTTTTTTTACATAAATAATAAAAATGTATTTTATTTTTTCCTTTTACACAGCATTGATAAACAAATTCGTATAAACTACACGGAGTATGGACTGGAGTCCATCTACTGAACATAATATATTAATCCATATAATTTAGTAGTCATAATTGACCATATTATATTATAATTAATTGTACTTTATATCTAAGGTCTTGGTTGTGATGAAAAAGCAGGATTTGAACACCCGCAACATTCAGGTCAATACGCCGTTGCTCAAACCACCTGAGCTATCGTGACTTTGATCCACTTGGACACAATTCATTTCAACCTACAACCTTACGAATTTTCTCTCTTTTTGCCATATTTTTTAATAACGTGTGATTAGGATTCTATTCTCAGTGATTTATGAAGTTGGTCAGGGGGAGCTGTTAGCTAAGTACTTCTGTATTTATTATATTAATCCATGTATGTATGTAGTAATCCCAATTGACTGTATTAATTATTTTAATTAGTTCCACTTTTTATATAAGGTCTTGATTGAAATGAGTAAGTGGTTAGAGCAGCGGCATATTGACCCGAAAGCCATGGGTTTGAATCACGCTTGTGTCACTAAATTTTCCATCTTGACCAAGACATTAGATAAAAAATATAATTGATTAAAATAATATAATTATATGTTAAAAATGATTTAAAGAATATTAGGCGTTTTGTCCTTTGTAAAATCTAGAGCGTGATGTGATGCTCTCAGTACCCAGCAACAAAATTTATAGATTACCTAACTTGGCCCATACCTCTCATTTAATACCTTCATAAATATTGTAAGTAGGCTATAAGAATTCAGCACGTACTTAATGATGTACAATTACAATTAATGATTAAAGAAAATTATAAGATAAAATGATTATATGTTCAAGTTAAGCTACAAACTAAATTAAAAATACTCATGAGTGGTCTACTTATTAGCAAAGGTAGATCAGAGAAGAGTGATGGACGATTTGAGTAGAGCATCAAAGGAAATTGTGAATAGCAAACCTGAAGATATGAAGAATAACTTGAATTTTAAAAAGCAACACATTCCAAAATCCCCCCACCACACACCATAACTACAAGCTACGATGCAGGGGTTTCCTAGGAGAGGTGCGTTGTTCCGCAACAATGGCCATAACGAATGTGTTGTTTGGTTTTAAAAATCACACTCAAAGGCATTTGAAAATAATATTATACCAGTCCTCTAAGTTGTCAAAGAGTTAAAAAGAAAAAAAGTGTTATAATCGTCCTAGCCACTTGATTACAAAATGAAATAGTGCATAATAATAATAAAAATCACAAAGTATTATTTATATTTACATTATGTATACAAAAGTTAAAAATGTATATAACAAACTATGCATTTCTAAAAGTTTCATGTGATAACGATCTTATGCCTCTGGTTTTGGCAATACTTCCTCACGCGATTGGACTGGTTCTACTGGAGGACGAGGAATTTCCTTGGCGATTTTAATCAACTGTTCTTTCTTGAAGTCCTTCTTTGCTGCCTCAAGGAGGATGTTGTGCAACAAGTTTTTGTTCGATGACCAATCCGGTACAAGTGAAGGAAATGGGTTGCCTAAATAAATCACGTACAAATTGTAAACTTGTCAACGAATTGGTACTAAATCATTTCATACCTTTTAGCTCTAAAACTGCCTGAGGCAAAGTGAAATCAGGATATGACGATGCCACTTTGAACATTCTTGTATAAGATGAAGTATAATTTTGAAACCTAGGAGCAAGAACCTTGAAGAGTTTGTGGATCAGTTGTTTTTCCTCCAACCAAAAATTGGCTATTTCCATTGTAGGAGTGTGCTTATCACCATGCCTGATCGCCTCAGATATTAACTGTAAAGTGAATTTTTTTAAATAATGAATTTTAAATTTTAGACTGAAAATCTTATTTTTTATCTATTTATGGCTGAGTAGAAGAACTTAAATAAACAAATGGTAAATTTTCACAACCTCCAGGGCACAAGGTGACCCTGAAGCCAACAAAGGAAAAGAAGAGACCACGGTCAGAAGACACCCCAAAAAGCAGGTGCCAAAAAAGCCAAGATAGTTGTGGTAGAAAAAGGCACCCAGTAAGCCAGATGACACCTTCAAGGTTGTCATGCTGGCCTATGTAAATTTATCGGCTGGAGAAGCACAGATGTTGGAATTGAAGTTGAACAAGTGCACTTACAGGTCAGGATATATAATCATAACTTGTGAGGATCAGGTCAGTGCTGACTGGCTAAGGGAGACCGTCCCAATGATGAACCCATGGAAGGGCACAGTCCTCGAAACTATGGCGGGGGATGACCTAACTTATGGCCTGCACAACCTACAGACCGATCCCAAAACTGGGAGATTGACAGTGGATAAGATTCTGGCCAGGCTAAAATCCTCCAACCTGAAGCTAAACATCCACCTATGAACCATCTAGGGAGAAACCTGATCATGGCAACCTCCAGCCTGTAAAGGCCGCATTGGCCACATTATGCAGGAGGTTTGACAGGGAGGGACTGGTTGTTGTCCTGGTCCAAGGACTGGGAACTATACCCCTCTTAGACTTACCCCCATAGTTAGTATCCACTACCCCTCTTCCCATATAGTCTTGAGTTAGAAAGAAAACAACATCCGCCCAAATCAAAGGTTGTACACAATGGGACTGTGAGAGGAGTAAAACCCCAACAGACACAGGTAATATACCAGAGGACATCAACAAGACACCAGGCTTGTACAGCGTTTAATACAAGAATTAGCCATACACTAACTGGAACTATGTTCTGGCGACTTGGTTACAGCAGTCATATCAGCAAAGATTGCAGGTGGAGAAAGAATCTGCTCGGCCTACTTCCCAAGAGGGAAACTGTGCCCACCCAAGTTGCTGCCAGGAAGAAGAGGAGACCGCAGATCATATGTTGCGTTTTTGTGAAGGTCTTTGTAGGCGCAGATTCTAGCAACTAAGAGGGGAAAAGCTGCAAGCAACATCCTACACTAAGAAGCTGCAGGCAAGGCTATGGAAGTTGATTAACAACATGAAGCTGGCCAGTGATTTATAAAATCAGAGGAGCTCAATATCTATCTACCTAAGGGTTCAAAAACCAAACCCCACTTCTAGGGTGAACATGGGAAATGCTCATTGCCAGCCTGACGGCTGTTTTACAATTTGATCTTCCACACCAAGGCATCGTGCGAGTAGACTAAGGGGGCTCTGGTGTCCTAACTCCTTTATAGTGAGGTATTCAAACTCTTTAACTATTCCTCACTAATCAATCTCTTACCACCCCTCTTAGTCCTACCCCCATAGTCCATTACCTCTCTTTCCATATAGTCTTGGGTTAGAAAGAAAACAACATCCGCCCAAATCAAAGGGATGTGCACCGGACCAAATGACTCATTGGCAGCTGAGGTTAATAAGCTTGATCAATGCCTCTCTGATACCGGGCAACCTCAGAGATTATTTAGCCTTACTCCATCATGCGGGGATCTCCCTAGCTGCTCGTGGGGTTCAGATGAGTAAAGCAACTGGAAAACAAATAAATCTGAAAAAGGACATCACTGCTCCACAAACAGAAAGCTATCTGGAGACAAACCTTCAGTTGGACGTTCAGTAGACAAAAGAAAAGGAGATACTTTTGAAAACAGCAACCAACCTCCACACAAATGAAGGGCTTGGAACCTTCAAGTAGCAGGACTGAAAGGAACCCACTCTTGGAAAATCAAAAGGGAAGAAAAAAAGATCCCTTCAGGAAAGGTCTGTGATGCCATGACCAAAGAGGTACATCTATCTATCTCCTAATAAGTACGTCGGTGTAAAGCAAGTTGTAAATTTAATATTCTAATATTTATTTTTTGACAATTTCTATTATATTTAAATAAATATATGTTATGTACCCTTTCTGCATATCCCCTCGCTTCATCGGCTTTCATGTAATTCAGTTGGATCCTTTCGCATTTGACGAGGCCGCCGACGATTTTCTTCAAAATGTCGAGCCGCCCTTTCGGGCCTTCGGGGTTTTTTAGGTTCCTGTGCCTCGCATTATAGCGAATCCTGAGCCTGGAGACCAAATGTGTCAGCTCTGGCTGGTTCATGCCGAAGTCTCGCAAGCCGCAAGTCCCACGACCAAAATTCGAAGTAGGTTTCCGTTTCGTCTACGGTTACAAGCCGAGTGAATACGCACGTTGCATCCGGCAGGGAAGTTCCCTCCTCTCGTACGAAAAATTTACCGCCACTTTTTGAAAATGATGGTTCTACTCGGAATTCAAGCATTAAACACTCATCAATAACAGTATTCGTGGATACCAGAACGGAAAGAATGGACCAAAGGAACACCGCTAAAGGCAAACTCCTACTGGCATACTGACGGCTTCAAAAACGACAAGGGTACGGGAGCTGGAGTCTTCGGGATGAACCCAAAGGCCGAACTGACTTAAACCTAGGTAAATATACTAGCTTTCCGGTCTGAAAACATAGCGATTGAACAATGAACCAGAGAAATGACATGCCTAGGAATACATTCCCGGAAGATAGCTAATTTTTCTGACAGTCAGGGAGCACTTACGGCCCTAGACTCATGCGAGGCGAAGGCAAAATGTGTCTGGAACTGCAAGGAGGCGACGAAGTCAGCGACACCAATGACCTGACCCTGGCATGGGTACCTGGGCACTCAGTACATAGAGGCAACAAAAAGGTGGACATGTTGGCCAAAAACGGGGGCTACTGTGGTTTAGTATCCTGCCACAAAAGAAAGAAAAAAAGATAGGGAGCCTCGGCTAATCCCTATAATAGAGTTATGGCCAATAGGTGATAACAAAGGCAAAAATAAATAAATAAGTAAAGAAGAAATTAAACAAGAATAAATGAAGAAAAGGAAGAAAAGAAAAAGAAAGAAAGAAAAAATCAGAAAAGATAGGGAGCCTCGGCTAATCCCTATAATAGAGATATGGCCAATAGGTGATAACAAAGGCAAAAATAAATAAATAAGTAAGGAAGAAATTAAAGAAGAATAATTGAAGAAAAGGAAGAAAAGAAAAAGAAAGAAAGAAAAAAGTAGAAAAGATTGGGAGCCCCGATAATTTTATAATAGAATTATGGCTAATTGGTAATAACAAAGGCAAAAATAAATAAATAAGTAAGAAAGAAATTAAAGAAGGATAAATGAAAAGTGGAAGAAAAGAAAAAGAAAGAAAGAAGAAAAGATAGGGAGTCCCGCCTAATCCCTGTAATAGAGTTATGGCTAATTGGTAATAACAAAGGCAAAAAAAAGCAGAAATTAAAGAAGAATTAAGAAGAAATTAAGAAAAAATAAGAAAAAGTAACTGTGTAACACCTTTGTATTTAAATTTAAATAGTGTTTTATTTCATTTAGATGGTCCTTAAATTTCCAAAATTTGTTCTATTTAGTCGTGTTCTTTAACTCTCGTTTTAATTTTTCAGCCGCTTTAGCCTGAATATTTAATATCGCATTCATTAAAATTAAGTTTATAAACTCTTCTTTTTGACAAGTTATCGACTTAGGTTTTGAGAGGACGTGCCTTATTGAACCTCTAAAAGCTACTTTAAAACCTTCTTTTTTAAGAATTTTTCCTACTTTTTCTTATGGTTTACCATGATTCATTTTTGGTGGAGTGGCTGAGTCCGATTGTTGCTTACTTTAAATTTAATTTTTTTGTTCTTTTTCTAGCAACCTATCGATCAACATTTTTTGATATAAATTGTTTTTAGCTTGACCTCCTTATCTGGCAGTATGGACGTTCTATCTAGAGGCCTTGCTGGTAACTCGCAATCAAGCGCAACCCAGTCCAGCAAAATAGAGTACTTCGCTTAATCACGAGTGCGCGATGGTATGTCATGAACGAAGTAATGCATAAAGACTTAACTTCTAGGAAGTTAAAGATGTGATAAAGAATGCTTTTTAACCGGCAGGTTATACAATTTACTTTTAAATGTAAAAGTAATTATAATGTAAACCGTATGATTTTCTCTAGAGTCTGCGAAATAATGTACTCGTGGTTTGGTCGTTTCTGACATTTGTAGTGCTTGTCAGGCGGGTTTCAGTTTGTATATCTCCAACTTCAAACAGAACCAGCACTAAGATGTTCTCTTTTATTCTTCTCTGCAAGCCCAGCCTGAAGATAAGCAGAAACTAATTATATTTAAATTTATCTTTTTAATTCATAGATCATCGAGACAGTGCGCTTTTCTATTAGTATTTCTATTTTCATTTTCAAGGTGATAACTGCGATAAGAGAAAAAGTACCAAAAAGAACTGCATGAGGGTAACTTCACTTGGTGAGGTGAGGCAAATCTCTCCATGTCCTTTTTCTGAAAGTTGAGGTAGTACAGTACTTACTTTCAGGCTATTTAAAAAGTCCCGGTCAATTTTTAATACGAAATTTTTCCTTCTTGTCAATTTAACTGTACCAAAGCCCTAACGAGAGTTAGGAAAACAAAAACATTCCAACATAAATTATAAGTCGTGCGAAGGTTGTTTTAATCAAGAAAAAGTCAGCGGTGCATGGGCGTAATGGAGTTAACGAGTTTATTCATGTATAATCCGGTGTCAGGCAGGGTTGTTTGCTAAGTCCTCCCCTGTTCTCCCTCTTTCTAGACGATTTTCCCTCTGTCCTTGATGGTGTCGTTCGCATTGGTAACGTCTCAGTCAATATATTAATGTGTGCAGATGATGTCGTTTTCCTGTCTACAAATCCTGTAACGATTCAAAAAATGTCTTTATCTTTTTATGTAATGCTTTGGTTGAAATGAAAAAGTCAGTGTCACGAGCGGGATTCGAGCCCATGACCTTCGGCTAAATACCCCGCTACTCTAACCACTTGAGCTATCGTGACTTCGATCCATTCGGACTGGTAACTCCCCATCTCAACCTACAACTTTTCGAAGGCTCCAAAAAATATTGATAAACTAGTGGCTTATTGTGACCTCTGGAATCTTTCTGTTAATTTAAATAAAATTAAATATCTAATTTTTCGTCAGGGTGGCCGGCCGCATCCAATGAAAAATGATTTTTTAATGGGCAACCAGTATCTCAATATAAATATTTGGGTGTGTCCTTAACTCTGAGATTATCAATGAACACGCATCTTCTTGAAAGGGTCTCCGTAGCTAAACTTGCTAGAGTTTGGTCTGGTTTTCTTTCCCAGGAACTAGTGCCTCTTCCATTTAAGTCTCTTTAAGTCTTTAGTCTTTCTGTAGACTGTTATGGAGCTCAGGCTTGGGCTTTTCAGCGATTTAAAGTTATTGAGAAATTTCAGCGTTTTTTGAATAACAAATTATTTGATATTCCATCAGTAGCTGCAAACCATATGGTTTATCTCGACACGGAATTCGATCTACTAGAGGTGTTCATGTTCAATGTCCTTAAAGTTACACTTTGATTACTGCATAAGGGTGTTGAATTTACCTCCTCATAGATTGCCAATAATCTCTGCCTTAGAAATAATAAAATCCAAAACTTTCTGGTTTAGCAATTGGATCGATCTGGCTCAGAGATATGCTCCTGAATTGACTGTGGATGACATGTCATTATGGAATGGCCGGTTGGCCACTTTATTGAGTAAAATGAAATCTTTTCCGTCCCGCTTTACACTATATCCGGAACTTGATCATTGTGCTGGCATATGCAGCTTGATTGCATACCTGCCGTGTAGCCTATCGCTTAGCGAGCTCCGCTGGTTATTTAAATTGAGATGCGAGTTGATATTCTTAAATTACACTCCATGGAGGAAACAGCAGTTGAATTGTGCTCTCTTTGTAATTCCAGGCCGGTGTAAAATACTTTCATTTTGTCACTGAAAGTTCGATTCTCGCAGAGGTTCGCGACTCTTACACGTTGGCCTGGCACTCATAGCAATGTTTATGATGATGTGCCGTTTGTGTCGCCCTGTCATCAGATTTACTCGCCACACTTGGTCTTACAGATTCGAGCTTGTCCAACACTTTAATTATCAATGTATTATAATCATGCTTCATTTCCTTACATTAATTATTAGTATTTCTCTTCTCTTTTTTATCTCTCTATTTTGCTAGCTTTTATCGTGTATTTCCGCTTCTTGCCTAAATTACATCTCAAAGATGCCTCGGCATTTCTACCAGTCTGGAAATGTCTGTTTGCTGGACCCATGCCCATTCTTCATTCATATGGAGTGTACAGGAAGTGATGGACATGCTCTTATTCGTGTTTTGAGGTTATCCCGTAAGTGTTCGATGGGGTTCAAGTCTGGAGAATGGGCTGGCCAGGCTCAGATCCTGTTGTTATGCTGTTGACGTACGTTTTTACTATGCGAGCGACATGTGGACGGGCATTATCGTGCATTAGAATAGGATTGTCGCTGATAGGATATCGAGAATAGGCGAGGCATGATGTTCCAAAATTTCATCCAACGCCGTCAGAGACCCTCCACGAACAATGACCAACTCTGTGCGACACTCCATTGAAATTCCCGCACACACCATCACTGAGTTGAAAAGGTTGGCTCTGGGACGAAGCCTTAGTACCTTTCATTTCACCTTCTCCACACTCTTTCACGCCCATCTGGAGATTATAGAGGAAATCAACATTCATACGTAAAAAGTAAGTCAGACCAATTCTCGAGCAAATGCGAGCCATGCAACTCTGTGTGTTCTGGTCAATTCAGGTCCTCTTACGGGGCGAAATCAGTCATCAGTCCATACGGATAAAATCTTCTTCGCAAGAGCAGTGCTTTCAGAAATTTGGACACCAAGAACTTCCTGAAGTTGATGAATCGCTTGAACAACAGTGAGATGCCGTTTCGCAAAATTCTTAAAGTCAAAAATCGGTCATCTTGTGGTTCTATTACCCTGGAGCGTCCAGAAACGGGCCTTCTATGGTAGGACCCAGTTTCTCGAAAACGTCTAACGGCGTCTCGCAGAGTTTCGTATGGAAGAAGTCTTTTCAGAGGATCTTCGGAAGAGGTCAAAACAGAGAAAACTTCCTTACGGTTTTCGCCGAGCTTTCGAATATTTTATAAAAATATTTTTACTGTAATTTTAGCTATAATTTTTAATTGTTAATGTATTCCATTTAAATCAATATTTAGATGCTGAGCCGAAAAAAACATAATGTACTTCTGTGCCCAAAACACCATTTTGTTTAATTTCCTATTAAGGTTTTAAAGTAAGATATCCAATTATTGTTGTAATTATTGTTTTTTCATGTTTTAATTGTTTGTTTATATGATAATAAAACAGGCCCTGAAGATGACAGTATAAAACTGTCGAAAGCTCGGCGAAAACCGTAAGGAAGTTTTCTCTGTTTTGACCTCTTCCGAAGATCCTCTGAAAAGACTTCTTGTATCCAGCAGGTCGATAATCTAGTTCATCGTTACATTTTCGTATGGAACTCCGATGGCCGTAGCCGCATACCTGATGGAACGTCCTGCCACACTACGCGCAACATCCTCAGCACTAAGTGTCATTTTTAAGTTTAAAAATTGAAATTAAGAAAACAAAGATGAAACCTAAACAGTTTATTGCTTCAGAATTCAAATGAGACTGAATAAACATTTTAAATTCCGTAAAAATTAAATATTGAAAAATCTTTTATCCTTGTTTTGGATTAGGGATTAAGTGTGTTCACGTCTAATTGATATTCAAAATTTAAAACATAGCATAAACAAATATTTATTGATAAAAACAATGAGACAAATTAGGGGCAGAATTTTCTTTTATCGAGAAAATGAAAAAAAAATTAGGTAGGTAGAAATTTTTGCCTGTCAGTGTATATACACACATAATACATAAGATAAACTGGAATGGTATGTTGTTAAGTGGCATTTTTGGAGATAAATCACATGGAGAATTTAAAGAGGATTTAATTGGATTGTATGGACTGGTCAAACATCCCTTGGGAAAGTGTTCAACACGGTGAGTGTTCAAATAATTTGTGGCTTAACCCTTGTTCCCTTTGGGACGGTGAATATGAATGTCAGTGTATTGCCCTAATTTAATCACACTCTACTTGCCCTTCTCGCTCACCGTCAGGTAAATTATAACCAGTCATGTCAAATCGGTGAAATCTCTGAAATTAGACAAGTTTAGTGAAATTATTTTACGTCGTGAGCAACGCAGAGTCCGAGTTGACACGGGCGGCAGATTTGGTCTATCTGGTTGTTTGTTATGGACAAGAGGCGGTTTTTGGGTCACGGTCAGGCAAAATTTGACATGTTTTTGCCATGAAATAAAATAAGAACAGTCGTTAATTAAAACAACTCATCTGTCGAAGTGGAATAAGTTTTATAAGAGATACATAATTGTACATTTTGCATATTTCTTTCTGGATTGTGAATTCAACATCGGTCGTGGTCGGAAAGGGGCGGTGGTTATTGTGCGATGTTTACGGCAGAGCTCGGTTGCCCGGGCCGACCACTTTTTCCAATAATGCTTACAGACATTTTCCCAAAAGAAATTAAGGCCGTGATTGTATTGAACGGGGAAAGTGTGAAAAAGTCCTAAATCTCTTTTTTACCTTGGAACGTGTTTACTTCAAAAGTGGCGACGATCTAATGCAATTGCCCTAAATAAGAAGACATAAATATTTTCCCCAATTTTTTCGAGAGGAAAACCAAATTGTAAAATAAATCTTCAATAATGCCCTTGAAACGAGCGGCGATTTGATCGAGATACTCATTGACCCGCTACTGCAAAACACAAAAACAAACGGTGAGATTTCTTATTTCTCACTTTCCCAGTTAAGGGCAAGAAAATATTTGTTTTCCAGGCGCACACCGTTACGCCAATCGATTGTTCTTTTAAAACAACCGTCAAGAAGAAACCCGTCCATTTTTGGATGACAGAACGAAAATAAGAATAAGGGCAGATAGACTGAAGTTATAAATTGGACAGTTTATTAATAATCGTGTAACATGTGCGTGAAAACGACCTTCTGATTCTATATATGGGAAGGTTTAGACCGCCTCCGGTGCAACTTTTATGAAAGTATGTACTTATTAAAATTACCACATTTTTATTCGAATAAGAATTCGGACAACGGGAAATGTATGAAGGAGGAATGTGCTAAAATTAATAGAGGATTATAATAGGGTTGTGTTAGTATGTGTCTGTTGTATGGGGGTGTTGGGCGTGGGGGTTGGTATCGGCGGGTGGGAAATTGAGAAGGGGCGGGTTTCGGCTCAGTGGGAGTGAGTCCTCGCTCCGGGCTGGATGGCGAGTTGAGAGATGAAGGGAGGCAGTTCAGAACTGCTCCTCGACCCTCAGGCAGAGCTTCGGAAGCAGAAGCTGCTCAATTTGACAGCGGCGAAGAAGCCGAAGCAGGTCCAGCAGCGGACTTGCAGACAGAAGCTGTGGTTCTACGCCACATCTTTTTTCACCATGTCGGCCGTCTCTGCTGGTTCTTCCCTTCTCTTCCTCGTTCCGCTCTACGTCGACCCGGCCATCTCCACCCTGGTAGCCGACTTCACTCCGAGACCCGTCACCTGCACGACGACGAGGAAAGAGGACCATTCCGGGATTTTCAATTGTTCCTGGAGCTCCTGCCGTGAAGGTTGTACGTCGGACATGTACCGTTGCACACATATTTACGTCAACTACACGCCCTTCGGCAACGATACGTTCGACGAGGAATTCGAAGGTATTCTCCTCGTGAATATCAAAGGATGCGGGTACCCTCCAGACGTGACGTGTTCGAACTTCACGGAGTCGTACGGTGAGCCCGGTTCCGAATTCCCCTGTTACTACTCACGACAGAACAGGACAATCGTAATGCGCCATTACGACAGGGATAGACAGGTCGAAGTCATCATCCACTACTTCGCTATCCCTTTCGTCGTCACAGTCGTCACTTCCGTTGTACTCTGTGTAATGCATTGCGATTGCCGGAGGTCTCAGGCGCCCGCCATTCGTCGGACAAGAATACAAGATCAGAGGTAAGAACGTTGTCAATTTCCATATCTATATTATCTGTATCTATATTGAATTCAAAAGTCGAAAAGGCATCATCAATATTTTTATGATCGAACTTCAGTCCATATGTCTGTTAATGACAAAAGTACCAACCTTGAACAAAAGTAAACACTCAAATAATAGTAATAATAAAGTTAAACCAATAGTACAAATTTTCGTAATTTATCAACAAATAATTATGATCCGATCAGATTCGGCTTGAATCCATTTCATATATTCATAAAAAGTCGAACAAATTGTTCTGGTTTGTAAATCTAGTTCTGGTTTTTATTTGATCGTTATTTCCTTTACTGAAAGGGTCAAAACTGCAAGATTTGTTATTCCATCCGTACTACAAAGAAATTTTTTTCACACAACTTCTGGGCCATAGACACATACAGACACACTACTGACATATGTATGATTCTTCAGTCGAGTGTTTGATTTGTTTTTGTTTTTCATTCTCTCCTTTTACTTATAGGAGAGATAAATCCTCCCAATATTATGATTCTTATAGAAGAACAAAAATCGAATACCCTATTTTGAAACATTAATAAGTTTTAATGAAAAAATCATCAAACAAGAAATATTGAAAATAAAACAATACACTTTCTTCTATGATTAATGTCTTTTATGTGATTAAGTTAAATTTTACGTAAAAGTTAATGGTAATGACAAAGTTAAAGCGTAATTAACAAGCAAGTCAACGTGTGGCTTTTGGAATGGTGAAAGAATAGAAAATAATAAGAGTTGATGAAACCATTGTTTTAACACTACCTTCGAATCATTAATGATACGTTGTAAAATATAGTTTATCGTTAAATTTTTATGAATTTAGACTGATTAGCCATTTTCGTTAGTGTTGTAAAACCGAAAACATTAATTAAAAGATGGTTCATGTTTTTAAAATTAACAGATAACTTTCGCTAGTTATAATACTTTTTAAGGAACGAATAAATACAGTTGTGATAAAAAGGAAACTTTCCTCTTTTCAAATATTACTTTAATATAGTACTAAATATTTATATAAATAAACTGAAATTAAAGATGAAAAATGGTCATATATCTTTGAAAAGAAACTATATATAAATTTAAATTAAAAAAAGGTAAGCTTTATTGCTTTATAAAATGTTATAAAATACTAAATTCCTTCGTTATACTTATATTTTTTTTTAATGTAGATACTGATGGGTGTAAACTTCTGAAACGTTAAAAAAATTTATAAAAAAAAAAAAAAAGTTTAAACATGAAATTTACAAAAACCTACCATAGACTATTAAAAATTTTTTTTTTTGAAATACTGCAATCTTGGCTGGTCTTGTTTCTGGTAGCAGATGCTAAAGGCTTGTTTCTACAGATATATAACTGCTATGGTGTCTGTCGTTCATATTTTTTTACCGATGCAGACATATTTAAAAAATAGTCTTTAGCTCTAATATCAGAAATTAGTATTAGAATCCGTTGTATATCGAGAAATGCATCGGACCTAATATAATGTAAGGGTCTAAACTATTGGCTCATAATCATGCCCTAACATAATTAGAATTACTTTTAGCCAGTCCTTAATAATTAACCAAAGTAATTATTTTAATTTATTTATTGTTTTTCATGCAAAGTATGGTTGAGTTGATTAAGGTCACGGGCAGGTTTCGAACCCACGGATCCGGATGTTGGTTCCAGTCCAGCTCGTGCCACGAATTTTTCAACCATAATTTCCATGAAACAATAATAAATACATTAATAATTACAAATGCTAAAATTGTCAAGTTTCTGTCTCGTTTTAGTTCTCTTTATTTTATACCAACGTGTTGAAGTCATGTTGTGTAAGTTTTTTCCGTAAAAACAACGTCTTTTGACAAAAATTCTTGTGTAGTTTCTTTCATTTTCTTTTTTTTCTAATTATAAAGAAGGAAAAGAAATAATAAGGGAGAAAAAATCATGAAAGCTAATCTGATTCTAACGGCTTCTATAGATTTTCTTAAAGCTATTTCATGAAACCGGCTGTAATGAAGATTAGAAAGAGGCTCCAGAGATTACAAGACTGGAAAGAGTATCTGACTATTTTTGATAGAATCAGTCGACAGTGACTCTTTACAGAATGAAAATAGGGCCGTTGATAAACAAACAATTTTATTCTTTTTCTATCGAGTTGTAGGGGAGTCGTTACAAGATGTTTATTTATTGACGTATGGCAAACAATTTATAAAACATAAACGACAAATAAACAAACTTTTTAAGCTTAACAAACAACTCAGTTATTAAATACACCTTTTTAGTGGCGTCGGTGGCCTCAAGGGTTTAGGCGTTGACGCAGCGCTCATCACTGTAAGGTAAAGGTCCCGGGTTCGAATCCAGCGGCCCTGCATTCGAACCCGAAATACTTACAAATGGGCTTTTTTCGAAAACGCCGGCACACCGAGGTTTAATAATAATGATCTGCTGTTGCGAACCCTCGTAAAAAAATTACACTTTTTTGAATTGCATTTTAAAAGAGATTCCTTTTTTACATCTATTTCTCAATTATTTATCTATATCTAAGCAATAAAGACACGGAAGCAATATTACAGAAGTAAAAAGTATAATAATAAGTGGCTTATTAACAAAATTTATCCCGGTTTTGAGTTGTTTTGGATAGGACTTTAAAATAAATTTGTTCTAGTGACTTAGGAAAGTCGATACCAATGTTCAACAATTTATACAAAAATATACTAGCGGTAATGAATCTTCTGTTTTCAAGAGTTCATTTTGAACAGAACCCTTAACTCAGCACCGGCAACATTATCTAGAAGTTGATGAACTTTGAACGCCAAATATCGTAGGATTTTGTTTTGGCTTTTTCAGTTTTATTGATATTCACATAAAGTGGCGACCACATTGTGAAATTGTATTCCATCATGAATCTATTAGAGAAATATATAAAATATTTGTACAATTAACATTTTTGAAATCGATGGTGATTCTTTTATGAAACCTGTTAGTTTAGAGCTTTATTTACCATAATTTTAATGAGCTCATTAAAAGATAAAAAGGAGCCAATTTGGACACTATCTAAATCTCTGACTGATTGGAGATTGCAAGGAAATGATACAGTAATAGAAGTTTAAAAAAAAATTAAGTTACAATAAACTATCTCAATTTGAAGACTTTAGCTGTAAAGTAGCAGATATCAATTTGTTTCCAAGTTGATAACACTGATAAGAGCTTTTCATTCGTGACCACACTGCATTTGAAATGAAAGGTTTGAGAATTATGCTCCAAACTTTCAAAGTTTTACATGTAGTGCATATGTCATAACATCTTATTACATGAGCATTACCATCAATTCAAGCCTAATTTCGTTTTTATTCGGAAATTTCAGTTGCAAAATAATTCTCTGTTTTTTTATAGAAACATAATTAATTAAATATGTTTCCAATAATTTGAACAAATTTGCAGAAAATTCGAACTATAATCTGTATTAAGCATTGCATATCTAATAAGAAATGTTTTTCCCATAACATTACCATTTCTTCTTTTCCTTCTTTAAAACATTTGTTTTAATGGCCAGAAATCGTAACCTATAATCATTACAATATTATTCAATTGACAGAATAATTTTTAGAGTTTTTACTACCAAGTAGTTTGTTGATATTCTTTACATTATATTCTAAAGGTAACGCCAAAATTATTTCCATTGAATAACCCTTTGTAAACCTATTAATTTGATAGAATTTCATCCAAATTCAACTCTGATGTAATGAATAATAGGCAAATGAAAAATATTTGTTATAAATTTTAATTCAATTTTCCCAATTTCTTCTTGATGTGCAATCGGCAATTTACTTTCTGATGAGTTTATTTGCCTTTTATGATATCTTTTCACCCAGAATTGCTTTTTTTTACAACAATTAGCAGCACTGTTGAACTTTACGTTCATTGTAATTGGTACTCCTAAATATATATAATTATTAACATAATCGAAATCGGATCGACGTCACGATAGCTTAAGTGGTAGAGCACTGGCGTTTAGCCGAAGGTCGTGGGTTCGAATCCCGCTCGTGACACTAACTTTTTCACCTCAACCAATACCGTACATAAAGATTAATTAATTGAAAGAAGTTATTTGGTCAATCGGACCACGAAATATAATGGATTATTAACATAGTTAGGAGCTCCGGGTAGTCCATATGTAACATAGTCCAGGCTTAAGAAATACTCCGAAGCATAAATGTCTATAAATAGCATAGTCAATCGGTGGATCATTGTAATATAATTATTCAGAAATCGTGAGATGCGGTCTGGTGTGATGTAGGTTTCAGAAAAACATTTTCTTTATCATGCCAACGTTTCAATCTTTATTGAGATCATCTTCAGCGCCTGAGATTTATAAACATTGTTTAAGTATTACAAATCCATATAGGATATGAAAAAAAAATTAAACAATGCTAGAAAATTTTAGATAAAAAATGAATTTATACAATGCTAGAAAATTTTAAATTAAAAAAGTTACTAATCACCACACATTGTAATATAATTTGTATCAATATTAATATACATTTTATTAAGGTGACACCATTTGACGAAATTATTAAACTAATCTTAGATTTTGACACAGTCAGATAGTGTTTTCACATCCTTTACAGCTTGAGATAATCGGAAAACAATTCGCCACAATTTTGACTCGTATAATACATAAAAAAAAGAAACTATTATCAGAAAATATTTACTGCAAAAAAATATATAAACAAAACTTTTCGATCATTTGGAGACTCCCTTCGTGTGTTGAACCATTCAACCATTTCAGAAAAACGTTACATATTGCAAAAAAATATGGGATTATATGTAATTTAATATGTTTATGATAAAGTCCAAAAAGATACTCTACACGGGCTATTTTCCCAAAAATGGCTAAAATGGACTAAACTAGTGTTATTCCTCTCTCAAAAAAATCATGAATCATGTTCGGTCGTAATCACGTAGCTTGATTATTTTATTAGAAATTAAA